CTTGAAGTTTTCTTATTGCGGTAGTTGTATTGATATTATTTTTCTTGGTACATTGTTCTCCGCAGAATGATTTTTTTTACACTCTGCAGCCTTTTAGTAATTTAGGATTTTATTTTGTTATCCTGAAGACGCAAGTACGGAATTATTGTCACTGATGATGTTAACGTAACCATTAGCGCTGTTAATGTAGTCGGTGATGTTGTGATGTTTTGTTGTCTTATTATGTTTTGTTGATAAATGTGCTTTTTATCTGGAAACCTTTTAACATACATTGTCCTCCTCTGTAAACATTATATTATCGAGCACTTTCCTCTTTCCACGTACCATCTTCTCGTCTTCATCCTTCTTTTCATCGTCGCCATCATCACCATTATCACTACCACCACCAGCAGCATCATCGTCGTCGTCGTCCTCATCAACATTCTCATCATCGTTGTCGTCGCCATCATTTTAACTGCGATACAGTATGTCATCATCTTCATCATCAATGTTCGAAACTCATCAGCTTACTCGCTCAATCACTCACTCACTCACTTTAATTTTTCCTTTCCTTTTTTTAAGTTTTATATTCAGGAAATCATCAATAACTTTTCATTCATTTTTTTGACTTATTTGTCGTGATTTTTCGACTCAAAATTCTTGAAAAATTTCCTGACTTCTAAAATTTTTTCAACTTCCACTTTACTATTACCTAACAATAAAATGAGCAGTACCGTTAAAACACATTAAAATTGGTTGATGTATTTTGTTCTCCTAAGTATAATTTTTTTGTAACTAATCTAAAAACCTTGATCTTGACTACACATGACCTTTGTGCACTGTTTGTTCATTGTTTGAAATTTGTGAAGATGGAATCTAATCATGTTTGATAATTCCTTTAATGAAGTAAAAAAAACCTTCATCTCCTACATATTCCGCATTCGCTGTATCATTGAATTGAATATAGCATCTCTATGATTGTATTTCAATTCCAGCAGTATTGTTATTATAATAGAAGTCGGAATATATGAAAAAACATGAAATAATACTGTGAAGTTAGGGAACATGAAAACTGATGCATCATAAAAATTCTAGTCGAAGTTGTTAAGTGTGAGTCGGAGGAGAACGTGTGTGAGTTTATATCAGCAGTCAGTGCGCCTGCTAATGTGACTGCCACTTAGTAATAATAATTTTTCCACACTGCAGACTGTCTGGCCAATCAGTTTTTCATAAGGTCATGTTATTTTCTCTTTCAGCACGTACTGAATGAAAATTTTAGGTTAACTAACATCTTGGCGGATGACTTTTAGAAAGTGTTATTGTATATTATATTAAAATCATAAATAACATTTGTCTGTTGTTAAGATGTTTTAAAAATACGAGCTTGAAAAATCATTTTTCAAATAGAAATTTTTAAAAAATTGTAACATATTCTTGAGTCGGATGAGAAATATTCTTACAAAAGGCTGCATCTTTGACCGACTCCAACACCCTAGTGCCTAACAGATACACACACATACAGGCATGCGTGCAAGAAATTCGTGAATGCGCACATTTAAACTACGAAAATTTCTATGCAAATATGAGGCTGTGTATCTGTATGATGCCTCGAAGAACAAATGCATGTAGTCTGCTCGATTTTACATCATTATACACACATGCTTTCATGCATTCATATACAGTATATAAATTCATACATATGTGTCTGATGTGTGTGTGTGTGGGTTGTATGCGTAGTGACACTACACATAGGACACAGCCAACGACAATGTATGCGACATTAGGCCTATATATGCCTATATATACAGTAGGACTACAGTGCTGTACTTTGCATGGGCGAGTGCCTAACCGAAGAACAAACTGTCGCTCTGTGCCATCAAACGTAACTCACCTGAATAATAAATATTCGCCTACCTACCTATTTTCAAACAACTTGTATGAGTGACCATTTCCTCTCTCTCTCTCTCTTCGCTTTTTACTTCCTCCCTTTTTTATCTTTTTCTCTCTTTCTCTATCCCTATTCTTTTCTCATTTCTTTCTCTTTCTTTCTCTCTCTCTTTGTCGCTCTCTCTCTCTTTCTCTTTCTCTCTGTCTTCTCTGTTTTATTATGTTTAAACCGATTATAAATAAATTTGTGCAAGACATAAATAGCAATGAAAATATCGTTCACAGACTTGGAAAAGAATCCTTTCAAATTAATCTTAACTTAGAACCATGAATATAAATAATAAAACTATATAAATATATATAAATATAAAAAAATATATATATATATATATATATATATATATAAGCGTGTGTGTGTATACAAAATTTTTCATACGTTATGCACGTATGTAACATCAACTATATAAATATATATAAATATAAAAATATATATATATATATAAGCGTGTGTGTGTATACAAAATTTTTCATACGTTATGCACGTATGTAACATCAAAAAAATGATTTTAGAATTCCTTTTTTCTATGAACGTTTAAATGGGTTCAGATGTTGGCAAGCTTATGCTTTGCTGTGACACACACACACACACACACACACACACACACACACACACATACATACACACACACACACATACACACACACACACACAAACACACACGTGCATAAATGAATAATACAAAAGCCTACCTACCTAGCTGCTTCGTATGCCTGCGCGCTGTTTAATGTTTGTAGATGGCAAGGAAGCTCTCCTTATTGCTTATTCAATTGAATTTCATCCCACTGATGCCTCCATCCTGTTATCGTCTTGTCGTGGAGTATTATTATAAGGTTGTCATCACATCACATCGCATCCATGCTATCTTTTTTTCTGATCTGTTATGCTGTGCTATACTATGCTGACAATAACGACGACGATGAAGACGATGCTGATTGTGAGGTGTGATGATGACGACGTTGTTGATGATGATGATGAATGAGATGTGTGACGATGTTGTTAATGACGATGAGGAGGATGATGCTTAAAACGATGGAGCACTTTTAAAGATAGTGGTGATGTAGATTGTAATGGATTGAATTGTTTCTGGCAATGTATTGCGATTATTTCTACCGCTAAAATGACGATGATGCTAATAACGATGACAAAGTTATTGTTGTTTATATTGTTGATGTTTTTGGTACTGCTGGCTGAGGCTTTCTTGCTTTTACGGCTATGGAGCGTAGTTACGAACAAACGTGTTAGTGATGATGTGTCACTTTGTTTTTGTCTTTTTATTATCAATGCAATGTTCGTCGATGTGATGTTAGTCATGCCATTTTAGGAATTACATCTCGATAACGCCAAAGTTGAACGTTACTCACAATGATGATAACAACGGTGATTTAGTTGCATGTGCTGATGATAAAGATGATGTTGCATACGATGACGATGATGGGGATGATGGGGATATAGTCCAGTCTAATGAAATGATAATAAGAGGCTAGATGGCTGTTCCGAATTTATATTTTGAGCACTTGAAACTTTCAGATAACCCCGTCGTGCCAAATTTGACTTTTCTATTCATGTCATGATTGTGACGATGACAATGTCATTTCAGAGATGTTATTCAATGCTTCATTATATCTACACCATACCTTCTCGTATGCAAATTCAGATAAAAGAAAACAGAAAAAAAACATACACGTATACAACGTATACACACACACACCACACGCACACGCACACGCACACATACATGCGTACATACATACACATGCGTACACACACACACACACACACACACACACACACACACACACACACACACACACATATGGATACATACACACAGGCACAATCTCACGCATCAGCACATAGGCAGAAATGTTCAAAAATTAAATAAGCCTTGCGTACAATGGACAAAATTTAAAGAAAAAGAACTAAAACAAGCCATGGCGTGGAATCTTCTTTAAAGTGGCTCTTAAAATTTTTAATTTGGTTTCCCAAAGCAGTACTTTAACAGGCGCACCTGATTAAATGCATGATAAATTTGCATTGCTTGCTGTCCTGTTCTTCATCCAATCCATAAATTTCATTTTTATTACTTAAAATAATTTTTCTAGCATGCTGCAAATAAATTTTTTAAACCGCTATGTAAACTCCAAGATAATTTTATCGTTTTAATTCATATCACAGAATGTAACGACAGCTTTAATATACGCAGTAACATTTGCGTGAATGTTATTTTCGCGTTTCAATGTTACGATGATGATGGTTGCTTTCTTCGTTATTTTCATTAAAAATGTCGTTGGTCGCCTTATCTTTTTAAAGGTATTAGACGCATTAGCGGCAGACGTTAAGCATGTGCCCACTGTTGAAACATTTCCTTCTGACTGCCAAGTTAATGCGTTATTCTTTTTTTCTGTAACGATATTTTAAAGTTAAATCGCACTTTGGTAATATTTTTGTTAATGTAATGCCGCAATTAATTTTGCTGCCAGTCAATGATTGATTTAGCAATTAGCTGGTTTGCTTTCTTCTCTTCTTCTCTTGTTAATAAAAACTAACTAAACTTGTTTTCGGATTATTTAAGACTTTCTTCGATAAACTCACATAGGAATGAACAATTAGTTTACCACATAAACAAGAAAATTATATTACAAATTAATTAAAATATTAAAAATGCAAATGTATTTTATGTAAAAAAAATCGATAGGCAGCTTTAATAAGGCTGCCGCTTTTGATATCGGTCTCTCGGAAACGGCAAGGTACATCTCCAATGGGGATTGACGATGCATTGCAAGTACTGAAATTTACTGTAGAAATTTGGTCAAGGAATCATTACAAATTATTAAACATATTATAACATCCTAGCAACTTTCAACAACATATACATTTCTTTACAATTCTTTCTTCAGTGTTTCTCAAATATGAACGGGCGTGAATGGACGCATGACACACAATGCATGTGACAGGTGAGCAGAGCCAGTCACTTTAACTACTCCGGCATGGTGCAACTCAAATGTATACAATATATGTCTCTAATGAAATTGTGAACGAAATAATTAAATTTGATGAAAATTTTAATAAATGTTCACATCGGGAAGACCAACTTTTCATTCTCTCTGCACTCATACTGCATGCCTTCTTTTTCAACGTATTCCCTGAAAGCAAGCAAACTTTGACATGTCTCCCTGTTACAAAAAGTTGATGCATTCACTTGTAAACTCTTGATCAATTAAATTTATCATTTTAAACATTAAAAACTCAGAAGTAATGCAGAAGCATAAAACCGCTGCGAAAGAGTTGACTAATTTGCACATGCACTGCCAGTATGCTTCTCTAAACTTACCCCTCGTTCGATTTGCCAGCCTCTGAATGAGGAGGAATGTTGAGAACATGAGCAAGTATCTTCTTCACCTTTGTCTTATTAATATGGATCAATTCGTGTTGAACCAGGTAGCTGTGTGGGTTGGTCACGCAATCATTCATTGTCATACAACAATCATTCTCTCCATATTTCTGCATTTTAATAACCACAAAGTTAAACGACACCAATAAAAATGAAAATGTACTAAAGATGTTGGAGTTAAAACTTATTCCAAATTATGTTAATTGTAGTAGACCTGCGAAAAGAAAACATTGGTCTAGAACTGCCATTGAAGAGGACGTGCAACGTGCCTGACATCTGGCGAACGTGCTGAAACAATAATTTCAAGATGCATTGAAACGTTTGTTGAAAAATCGGACTATTTGTAAAATAATAATTTGAAATAAATATTTGCTGAATAACTGAATATAATAAAACAAGCTTGAGTTTTAATATTCTACAATTCAGATATAATTCAATGATTTCTGATTTGTCATTTCAGAAAGTCAGAACTCGGATATAAAATATATTGCATCACCACACCATCAAAGTTGTTGATAAGAATACTAGAAAACTCAATTAACATTGCATCTAATTATGTATTATTTCGTTTTAATTGTGACAAAAATAATAAATCATACATAATTGGATGAAATATAAATGAAATGAGCCAGAGAAAGAGATTTCTAACTGAAACCTTTCTTGAGAGCTCGGAGTATAAAGTAACATAAGACAGGTTAACACAAAATCCGTAGTCGGGACAACTTTCTGTATTTAATTCATCCGAGTTCTTCTTACCACACCAAACAAATTCATTTACAGGATAAACTGGTCGAGGAATTATTTAAAAAAATTTTTTTTAAATATGTTATATAACTTAAAACAAGAGAGAGAAATGGTAACAAAATGAATTGCATGAAAAGAACACTGACCGGTCAAAGTGTCAACCATTGTAAAATACCTTAAACCCATGTTTGCTATCTGATAAATAAACGGCTTCGTATTTCCAGTGGCTAAAAGAGCCTTATAAATATATATAACAGTTGCATAGTCATTTGAATAAAAATTAATTTACAAAACTTACAACCATTGTCATAGCTAAACGAATAAAATAATGCGTATATGCCTAATAATGTGAGCGTCTACTATGAATTTATCCTAGGCTCGTCAAAATTTAAATTCTTTTTGCGCAATTCTTGCCTCATCCTTTTTGGCAGACCAGAGCTGGTGACCTTCAAGTGACTCAACATGAAGATGGGCACTAATTTTTTGCTTAAAAAGAAATATAATTAGCAGCTTACTTACTCTATTATGAATAGTCATCTCATGAGCAGACGCATCTACATAAGCTCTGTATCTTTCTGGTGGAACATCACACGGATCTCTTCCAACAAATGCCTCCAGAAAAAGATCATACAGCTTTTCACAGTCCACCTCCCTGTCGCTATATTATTGTGGAAAAAATGAAGCCTAATGTCTGATCAAATAAATTGTTATAAAAACATTTTTTGTAGTAACTTTTGCAATGAATAATAAACTTCGAAAATCAACAAAAATCAATTTTAAACTATTAGTCTGAATCTGGTTGATTTTTCGCTATTCTTTACAGATTAAAACATATAAACCGGACAGCTGAAACAGGTATGTCGATTACGACTGGGCCAAAACTCAAGAAAAGCAAGATTGAAATAAATAACAAACGTTTTAAAACCAGTTTTAATAGATTTAAATTTGAAACTCACTCGGGTCTGTAAAAGGCGTCTTTTTTAACTACTTCAACATATTCGTAACATTTGCCGATGTAAATATCTCTCAAATTGGGAGGAGTACCCAACGCACAAAAAGCACAAACAGGAATGATAAAGAGGATAGACGAAACCGTCCAAAAGTTATTCATTTGTTGCGGTATTGAATTTGTTATTACGGAAGCACGGACGCTACCTAATTTGAATTTCTAAAAACGGTTGTCAGTTCAGCGTTTTGCGAAGTGAAGCAGTTTAGCGCGCCTTTTTAATGAATTCGACCGAATTTTTGGCTTTAGATGATTTTCGAAAACATTTTCGATGTTTCTGCTCTACAGCAACAATAATTTGCCAAATGTTTTTAGCGTGTAAGTTTAATATTAGTTATGCAAATAGTGCCTTATAGCGATTTACTCATCCTCTTGAAGTATGATAAAATTCATGGATATATATAATAAATGAACTATAATAAACTATATCCATGATAAAATGTTAAATATAAAAATATACCGTTTGTCTTTTTGTCCCGAAAAGTTTTTAGCTTCGTCACCAAGGCACTTCTCTTTTCAATTTATTATGGAGTTATATTTTAATGAAAATTTCAAAAAATGTAAAAATGCTTGATAATAAACATTTTATTTATATAACTAAATCTGATTAAATCAAAAAATTTATCACCAACTCAATTTAATTGGTCCAGTAAAATGCTAACTACGAAAATAGACAAAAATATTACATATTACAAATAAATTTCCAAAAGCGTGTCAAGAAGAGAATAAAGACTAGTTGAAGCCAGGCAATAGTTGGGATTGTGTTTTTGAAAACCTAATCCATTAATATCTTTACAACTGTACAAATTATTATTATTTAAAGAGTCACGTATAGCTCAACTTTGTCATGCTATGGAGACACTAAAACAATTATTTATTTATCTATCAATTCTTCCTTGTTTATTTAGAGTTACTCGGCTAAAAATATGCTTTAACAAGATTGAACATTGTCGGACATAGTATTAAGGTAAAGATAAAACGAACGTAACAGCTAATTACAATCGATATAAGGGCAAAACAACTGGTATTTTAAAACTATGCATGGCACAAACATACACACATATATTGGTATTATGTACAGTACATATAAATTTGGTTATACAATCTTAATTAGATATAATTGCGTATATATATATATAATATATATATAAGCATCACCGATGAACACAAACTTAATTAAAACAATAATTATAATGAATAGGAAATGAATAAAATAAGTTAAGTATTGATGACATCACAGAAACATAAACAGAAACACAATGAAATGACTAAGAGAAATAAACATTGTATAAATTAAAATCGTTAGTTCTAGTGCAAAATAAATGCATCTATTTATAGATTAAATTGATTATTTGTTGATGGCAATCACCTAGTTAACTCCTCCTAAAAGTGTAGGCCATATTAATTTGTTTTACAAATCTTAGTAACGGAACGAAATAACTAATTTCAATAATCAAAAAGGTTGAAAGATGTTTCATTTATTTACAATACCATGGCTCAGTTATTAATTACGTACAAACAAATCAAAATATAAAAAAAATTGCAGTTTTTTGTTTAGTAATAATAAATAAAATTATTGTCATGACTATTTTTTAACAAGATACAAGATAAAATAGCGTTATAATATATATATATATATATATATATATATATATATATATATATATATATATATAATGTGTGTGTATGTGTGGTGTGTACATATTTTGAAATTAAAATCGAGAATCATTAAACCTAATAATCTAAACATCGAAGAATAAGTTTGCATTGACAAAGAGAGAGGTTGAACATCTAAACATCAAGCATATTGGCTTCATTAAGTTATTGGCTTCTTTAAGTAGATTAATTAATAAACTTACAAATGTTTTACTAGTTATTAGTCAGTTTGTCTATGTTATGTCATGCTAACAGCAGAGATTGACGTACCATGTTGAACGATCAGCCAAGAAAAATAAAATTAAACCTGTTAAAAGATTGACCAGTCCTCTTTATAAAACATGCAATTTGGTATCAAGAAAAATAGTTAAGCGTATAAAATGTATGATAATTGTCACCAAGCTAAAAACAATGAAACATTAGAAAAGTTATTTATTAATTTAAATACACAAGTAAAAAAATAGTGCAACAATACAGATGACAAATTATAAACTTTACAACCGTATTTGTAAAAATAAAATCATCAGCATAATTAGTGGTTGGGCTATCGTTAATTATTTTGTGGAATTGTTCGTTATCATTAATGAAAGTTATCACCATCCTCATCATCTTCTTCCTCATCATCATTTTCTTCGTCATCATCATCATCCTTGTTTAAATGCACAGTTGAATCTTATCAATCCAGTCTTGCACGGAATTGGAATCAGTTGCATAGAAGTGGTACACCCTTCTTATAGTTTTCAACTGTTGAAAATTGGAAAAAAAATAATTGAGCACAGCGAAGGAAAGATTAAATCCACGCACAAAGAACAATAGATTTAAATGTGAATGTTCGGCTTATTTACATTGCTGGCCAGTTCAGCATAGTAATGAAATAATGATAGCGACAGTGAAGCAAGCAGCAGTCTAGTCAGTAACCTCAAAGAACGAGCCGTCATCAGATTTCTTGGGAGCGCCAGGGACGTTCTTGATGTTGGCCACTGAAACGACATCAGCCAGGTCGACGAATCCTTTGCAGTGCGCATCTTCCGGGCTGTCGTAATATCTCAGCTGGTGGTTTGTTTTAAAGATCGTATTAATGGTCATGTTGTGGCGAAGTTGTCGCCAGTGCTGATGACAGTCAGTCATGATGTGATTGACGATGAAGGTACTAAGATGAGTTGCCATAAAAGGCTGAAGTAATTAAAGTTTATTAATAGTGACCTGATGCTTAACAGAATCCAAGACGAACCATCTCAATTTCCATCCTTTCAGCATCACTCCTCTCTTGTACAAGTAGCCTGCCAACATAAATTATCAAGTGCGTTCAATGATTCAATAAATGATAGTTTTTTATGAAAATTTACAGATAAACAAATTAATAAAAAAAGAGATTAAATGGATATAAATTGAATAAAGAAAAAAGTAGCAAGATAATAAGGAGCCTAAACGAGGCAACAAACAAACACGACCAGCCACAAAAAACGACAACAGCTAAAAAATTATCATAAAAATTAGCAGACCTTCGTGCGTTCGATGCTCGTTGGATTCAGTCGGAAAATCTAAATACGTCTCAGCTGACCCCTCTTTGCGTGTAGCACCTGAACAAACAGGCATGAATAAGTTTATGGACATAACACATAATTAGTAGTAATAATAATATGTTATCATTATTATTAAAAATAATATTTAATTCATCATAAGAAAACACAAGAACCAAGGCTTTTGAAGCAATGAACAAATTAAAAAAAGAAATATAATTTTCTCCAAATTCGATCAGTGTATAATGTATATTACATTCATCCAGCTCTACAAATGGATTGAATGACTATGAATAAGTTGGATATCAACCAATCGACGAACGAAATCACCGATGTACAATGTACATCTTATTTAACCAATCAATAAATCAACTGACCGATATAAGGTTGATTCATGGTTGCACTCATCATCGCAGCAGAACTGTGAACATGGCTGGTGTCGTCAACGTCTGATAAATTCTTTATTCCTGAAAACAAATTCAACATGCCTCGTTGTCGCACACACATTATTGTGTTATCGAAAAAAAAAAATAATATCGTCAATCTTACCGTAATTAAATCGCAATTAAACTTATCAGCTCAAGCAGGAATTTTATGTAATGCAACTATAGCCCACACGACCAAAAAAACATGCAACCATGACATTCATCAATGAATCCACGCTAATCATACCTGTGCAGTTCTGTGGCACAAGACTCAAACATTTCTCATGACAGCTGTAGTTACAATCAGCACAGTGGTAACCTACACGTGCGTGTACATATTTTATTGCATTTATTGACCTACATGCTGTTGGTACAAACAGACAATTCTGTTATTACGTTAACCAATGTAACATACACAGGTGTATGGTGTGCTACTATATAAACAACTGGAATTTTTGAAGAGTTCAACTTAACACACGAGATTAGAACCAACACACAAATCATAAAACAGAAACCAAACGCGAACTAAATAAATATACGGGTCCTAGACAAATAAGCATACAATCATTATTGGTATAATTGGTTTTACAATTGTAACCACTGGAAAACATTAAAAAAGATAAGAAGTAACCAACCTGATTTGATGAAGCCCCATACGATTTGTGTACAGTAATTGCATTGCGTGGGTGTTGTGTAGTAGTGGGGCATGAATGAGTGCATGTGTGAGAAGATCATCTTGCTGTTGACGTCATCTTGGAAACCGTTGTTGTAATGGTTCGGAGCTGAGGTCGAGGACAATGAAGCCAAGTGTTTGTTCTTGCACAACATCTCAACCTGGTTCAATGTCAGCAAGTTTTCTCATTGATAGATCGATTGGTTTTAATAGCGTTGATAAGTTAGAACAATTGCCTTATTATTATTGTTATTATTCTCTTGTAAATAATCCCCAGAGGTTATTATAACAACACACAGTGTATGCAAATACACGTGAATTAAATCATCACACACTTTTGCATGTGATAGGTGGGGATCTATTTACATTCGAACCAGGATACTGCGTCGACAATGCCAGGCGCCTTAACTATTACACCACCGCGTCGCCATTACTTAATGGCAGCTGTACAAAATAACTGAGTAAAATTCAATAATTTTATCTGCATGTAATAAAATTTCACAAAAACAAACAACAAAAATTAATTCTAACAGCAAGCTTTTTGTGATTGGATTGTTGAATGGCCAATCTCCTTCGTTGTTCCTCCCATAAGCCACCTGATTGGTGGTTAGTTGCCATGGATACTGCTGAAGACAACTCGTGGGTGGGTACTTCCAAACTCTCCCATTGCTCAATCCATCCTCTAGGAGCAGGTCGATTGTTCAGCTCAGAATTCAACTTGAAAATTTCCTTTTTAAAATTTTATTTTTCAGACATCAGGATGTTATATTCTCTAAAACTACTTACATCATTTTAAAATAGGGGCTAGAAAATTTATCGGAAATATTAATTACAAAGGCATCAGCTAAAATGCAAGGTTCACGTGCTTACCAGCTAATTTTTTGTATTGTATCGATAAATAATTTAGTATTAAACTATTAACGTAAGAGTGGTAGTAGTAGTAGTATGAAGGTAACATGAATGAATGCACTGATAAGGATGCAGTAGTGACAAACCATGAGGAGATGGCTGCAAGAATCGGGCTGCAACATCTCCACGTTGTCGTAACAGCCGTTCATCAACCTCCTGTTCATCGCCTGCTGCTGCTGGTTGCTGCACTCATAAATATTATTAATTGACGTTGACTTAGTTTGTATGGGGTATTAATTTATAATGATGAATGCCTTTCTAATTTTTGTCTGTTTGCAGCTGGAACATCAAATCTGCTTTTTAGGCAAACGTCGGAAATTGAACAAGTGCATTACATTATGTTACTGCTCAGGTCCCAGCCGGCTTAAGAACTACTGACAGTACACACAATAGTCAAAGAGACCGAGTATGAATGATTACAACGTCAAGAAATAATGAATTGAAAAGCAGGTAACGAAGAGGTAAATGACCTGGTGCTGCTTGAAGACTTGGAGGGTGATTCGCATGCGTTTGAAATGTTATCCTGATGGTCACCTCCATCTCTTTGAAGGTCAAAATCTCTCAATTCAAGGTCATACAGAGTTCCAGAACATAAACTCTCGGAAAAGTAATAGTCCCAAACCTTTAAGTTGGAACACGTGGAATATGGACGCAGTACCTAAATGACAATATCAATGAACATTGAAATGGATAACTAATTCAACCAATTGGCCAGTCAATCGTTAATAAATTGAGAGAATAAGTAAATTTTCTATCTCTACAAGCAACCAACCGTTTCGTGATCACGAGAACAATATAGGAAGTTGTAAAATACAGGTGATCTCTTGTGATAGTAATCAATGTAATCCCAGACTGATAGGAAAGCATTTTTCGCTCCTGGAGCTCGTTGATGTTGTTGGTATGGATGTATCAAAGTATCCGCCCCATAAAATGTTGAATTGGACTCGGAACCGTGATAGTGTCCGTGATGGAATTGATGCGGAGTGCAGGAAGGATTATCTGGAGGATCAGTGGATGATGGCAGGTCCAAACTGTTACGGTCAGTTTCGTTGGGGTCGTTGTCGTGTCGATAGTTCTGGTCGCGAGTGTGCCAGCCCAACTCAACTCTTTTCAACTCAGAATCCAGCATGAATGTTCGAAAGCGATTGGAGAGATGGTGGAAAGCGAGGAAGCGTAAATAAAATTGATTGAACTCGAACGACATTGGAAACTGGTTGTGTATCTTGAAAAAAATAAATCACATAAAATAAAATTTATTCAAAATTTGAAAGTACATAGTTAACTGAAATATACTTTTAAAAACTAAATGAGAAAAACGAACGAAACTAACTTGATGTACAACATCAAGAAATTGCAGAAATATCGGAGCGAATCCGCTGGCCTGGTTAGCTTCAGTTTGATTGCTACGGTGACTGAAACGATGACCGAAAGCCATCCATTCCTTTTCAATAAGAACTTTGAAGCCCTCAATGGTCCGGTAGTAAGGGTCGAGAAGAATTTGTGACACTGACATGACCTTTAAATTAAATAAAGTACGATCGTGTTTCATAATTCTTTTGGAAAATTATAAATATAAGAACAACAGCCCCGAGTGAATAATACAAAAAATATATTTTTTATGATATAATTTACTTAAAAAAAACGCAGTGAATTGGTAGAGCGAGCTTCAACAGTTCATATATGAATGCACGCCGTAGTTAAGTTTCATAAAACAAATTAGTAACAGATTTTATATAATATAGTAGAATTAATAAAAAAACTAGACTCCTTATAATGCAGTTATATTATAATTGATGCATTGCTTTAAACTTTCATCTATAAACTAGTGAATGAATTAAACAAAACAGTTGGAGCAATGAAGTTACGCGCCTGCGTAGTGAAATCCCATCCATCTTCCAGACAGATCATGACAGAAGATCCTTGAAGATCGATAAGATCAATTGCAAGTCCTGCAACTTTCAGGATATTCTCAATTTGTCCCATCCAACCTGACTCCTGGATCCACCTCAACATTCCTCCTCGCTTCCCATCATTACTCGCCTGTTCCTGTCCACCCAGCGTCGCGTTTGTTGTCGGTATGTTGCTGCTGGGCACGCAGGCTCGCATCAGCTTCTTGAAACTCGCCTTCACATTGCGCACTTCGTTGAAATCAATTGGAACAAAATCGCATTTGCCAAGTGATTCAACTCTTAAGCCCTAGTGAGTAAGTTTTAAATAAAAATGATATATTAGAGTACTTTGAAAAAGAAATTAAAAAATAAACTCATCATTTAAAAATATTTATAATTCAAACAAACTCTACATGATAAATTGCGTTTTAGAGTAATAAAATGAAAACTCAAAAAAAAAACCAAAGAACAAACCTTCATTTGAGCTTTCTCGCCAAGAACATACAGAGTAGACTTGTAAAAGCTGTTCGACATGTCGCACATCATCGAGTTAGTATTTAATGTGAAACCATTTTGTTGCTGCTTCATTGGCGTTGCGACCGGACTTTCTGTTTGTAACTTCTTTCCCATGGTCATAGCAGAGATTGGTCTCTTGTCTCTCAGGCCTTTCATTGAAGACCTTGATAGAGCTGATGTAAGTTAGAAGTGAAGATGAAAGAGATTTATTTAAATTTAATTAGTTTTTATGCTTGGAGAAGAAAACTTAAAAGGAATTATATATTAAAATTTGAAAAATTAGTACTGGATTCCAAAAAAATTAACGAACAAGCGAACAATATTTGTTAAAATTTGAATCATGCATAAAAAGAAGATATTAGTAAAACGTTATGATGAAAATAAAAATAAAGCACAAAAACGCTAAAAAATTGCATAACTCCATTAATTGAAATGAATGCAAACAACAGTAAAGCACATCGTAACATCCCCATCAAATAATATGTCGTGATATACACAAAATATCCTGACAATTTAGAAAGCGGAAACCAATTAAACTAAAATAAGTTCTCATAAGCCATATAACAAGTAAAACAAAAACAAGATGAAAGCAACGTACAAGCGTCAATTAGTTGTTTGCCGTTATCATGCATCACAAATGTGGAAGGATGCTCTTTATGTTGCTTATGCAGACCAATATTGCCTAACTCTCTAATTGACGAAGTTTTTAAATTAGTGAGAACTTTTTGAAAACCTTGTCGCGTTTGACTGGCTATAAATGAAAGGGTATCTCTTTGATTGCTTGGAACTTGCGGCTTGTGGTTGGCCACATTTGAAGGAGTTTGTGGATGTGGTGGGACCAGCAAGAATGATGAACTTCTCACTAGATATGAAGACGATGTTATTGTTATACTTGTTAGGAGGTTATGTTGAATATCGTTAGGAATGGATGAGTCGTTTATGTATTATGTGCTATTGCAAATTTATAATGCAACGGGGGCTATATAATATATCAAATTTTAACACAATTAAATATATCCTAACAAACAAATAGATCACGTCAGAATTTTTTAATATTGCTCTCTTTTTAATATTACCCTCGGACAATACAAAACCACTAACACAAACTACCACACGTAAAAAGAAACACCATATATAACGCTACTAATAAAATGAAAAATACAAATAATCACAACTAAGCTATAAACCTAATTTACCTAAAATTAAAACAAAATGAAAATAACTCAAATCTATCCAATAACTCCAAAAAGCTAACTAAATCAAAAATTGTTAAATATGGACAGGATTAAAATAGTTATTAAAATGGAGAAAGCTGGGTAAGGAGAAGAAACGGGGAATCAAAAGAGGAAATGGAGTTAAAGTGTTTTTTCAAATGAAAGCATTTCATGAATTAATTAATGTCTTTCTATATAACGGAAACGCTCCTTCCAGGTTGCATATGAGGTAAGTTGATGGTTTAAGACAAGTGCTACTTAACGACCCTTAACAATGAACTGTTCTAGGCTTCGAAATAAAGCTTGATTGCAATGAAATGATTCCATTCCATTTAAAACATTTTATAAAGGTAGGGTCAGTACACATGAAATTTATTTAAGCCTATATGACCAAGGGATGTTAATAAAAACAAAAAGCCGGAAGCCACAAAAATTAAAATAAGCAGATGATCTGGTAAATGAAAACGTGTGTGTATGTATGTGTGTATGTGTGTTTGTGTGTGTGTTGTGGTGTGTGTGGTGGTGCAGGCGAGGAATAGAGAGATTTGACGGTTTTTTTATTAGGTTTTCAAAAAATAAAATAAACTAATAAATCAATTAAAACTGCTGGAATGTTTAATTATTAATATAAAGTAATAGTAGCAATGATGGTGATCACAATCAGAATTTAACTGTTGGATGAATTAAGTGGGCTGTGCATGGAATAAATAAATGAATAGATGGATGGAAGAGTCAGACTATCATTGCTCTTTCTAGTTATAAATAGAATTTATTCATTCATTTATTCATCTAATTCTTAAAATAGTGTCAAGCTAATTCACAAGTAAATAATTTAATGAAAGATGATCAAACAATTTTCCGAATTAGAAGCACGTATTCTCCACGACCATGACCACTCTGATGATCGTACAGTTACACATTATTGTAATAATTTGAAGCCTTCCAATAGAAGAAAGTGATTAATTGAAAGAGATGCAATCAGAAAAAAAAACTAATAACAAGCCTTATCGTTCGCATCATCCTTCTCATTATTCTATTGCTAACGCACTCAATTTCTTAGAAAAAGGAGTTTCTAAAAGATTTCTTTTCAGGGTTTCAAATTTTCCACTAGAAAAATATCCCTTCAATGTACCCCTTCTGCTTGAAGTTCTCGTGAAAAAAGATGATGATGTAGATGAGGCAGATGATAATTTATGTGTCAGTGTGTTGCATTTCGATTCGGCACCTTTAGAATTAAGATCGGCAACATCATTGCCATCGTTGTTGTCGGTGGTGAAGTCATTTTCGTGATGGAGGGAGTGAGGAAGATGAAAGGTGTTATGATGATGGTGGTGATGGGTTGCTTTTTTGGTGAGTGTTTGATATTTAAAAGTGGGCCAAGTTAATAAAAGGTATGGCAGAAAACTTGAAGTATCTTTACCAGGTGGAGTGCATGAGATGATGGAGCTGAAATATTTTTCCTGCTCCATTGTCATTGTTGAGGCCACATTGCTATCGACTTGCGGACTTCCTGTTGGAGGTATTGTTGTTTGTTCATTTAGTGTTGTTTATGAATGTTGTTGCAGTTGCAGTGCAGTTAATGTTTTTTATGTTTTTATAGCTGATGCTGTTATTGGTTTTACAAATGCAAGTAGTTGTGTCGCAGTGTGTGTGTGTGTGTGGTGTGTGTGTGTTTATTTATAATTCACTTAATTCAATAAGTTAGGCAATTTTAAATTATTAAAATTAAAAGCATATATAATCAATAATAATATTGAGTTATAATCTAGTTAACAAGAAACAAACAAGCAGAGGAACGAACCAGCTGGATTGCTGTAATGTCCTTTGAAAACTCCCATCACCCTCTTGCCATAGAAACCACTGCCTCTGATCAGAAGGGCCTTCGTTGTTGGATGCCTCCATGTCGCAACTGGAAATCTACAACAGCACGTTAACTTTTGCATCAACATAAATAACAACATGCAGTAAGAGTAATATTAGTAAACAGTTTAAAATAATAATAATAAACAATAATATCGACGAACAAAAACAACAGAAAATGACGGTCGTTGACTGATTCAACGTTAACGAGAAGCAAGCACTCAAAACATTAACATACCTGTTCAGTTTGTGACTTTTACAGATCTTTTGTAGGCAGTCATCCGATATAGAATAGGGAACAGGCAGGACAGCTGGATAACTGAATGCATAAGAAACATGTCTTCCTCTTATCAATGGTGGTCAGATGTATGAGAAGCACGTTTCAACAATGTGAAAACATTCTTTCATATCAGTTTAAACACAATTTATCAGCAATCGGTAAAATATGTCCACATATTTAAAGTGTCAAACCATCATCGTATAAAAATTTAACATTTGAAGATGTTAGTACTGGCAAATTGCATATACATGCATGAATAGACAACATATATATAAGCACACACAAATATATGTTTACAACAAGCACACACACACACACACACACACACACACGCACACACACACACACACACACACATCATTGAACTGACCTGAAACATACAGCATAAGATGAATTGATGTTGACAGTTGACAATCGAAACTGATCGGGTCTCGGTCGGATCGGGTGGTGCGTGCTCGACGAATGCAGGGAACCCAAACCCAGACGAAAAAAATCTCGGCAGTATGACCTCTCGGAGATGCGTTCGAGGTTTTTGGCTTCGTTAAGTATTTGCACTTTTACTTCTTGCTCATCTATAACTGTATGAAAAAGAAGATTTTTTTTATGTAAGATCAAAATTTTTCGATATATATTTGACTTTTGATGTCATACAAAAAATTTAACATGTTAAGTGACTAATAGGCAAAATAATAAACGAAACTAAACAAAACCTCATGAAAAATACAGCAGAAGATAACTGAAAACTAATTGATCAACATACTGAACAACCTAACGACTATCAAATTAGTTCTGAAACTATGCAGCGACCTGGAAAAGTGGTTATCATAAAACATTGAATCAACAAACCAGAAAGTTCATCGTTGTAATTATGGAACTGTTCGTCAGTGTACTCGAGTGTTAAGTGGTTGTAATTGTATGGCACTTTTCTGTTGAGTGGAGGTGTAGGCAGAAAATACTTTGTCGATCTTTTCGAAGTTGAGTAATCCTTCGTTTTAATTCCTGCCTTACGAGCTGTTTTCAATAGAGTCTTTTTGGCGAAATTTCTAAAAAGCGAAAATATGAAAAATATTCAACAAATTTTGTTGGCAATTGAGCAAAAACGGTTAAAGTGTCATCAGTCTCGCGTTGTTTTCACCGTTCTTTTTGACGGTTTAAACCAAGTTTCATATATCGTTATCTTCTAACTCTTGCTCTTGAACAACTGATGAAAATCACATGTATAAGCACGCAAAACATAGCATTTCACACAACCAACAAAATATATTAGATTTCTTTTTTCGTTTCAATGCTTAAGAAATGTTACGAAATGTTTAGGTGGATGTTGGTAGAACATAGGCTACGTGAACGAACAAACGGGACATGGAGAAAATTGAGAAACACCAACTTGAGCGAAACGTTCTTCTCCTTAGACTTGGCCATGGCAGGCATGGCGCAGTGCAGTCGAATGAATGGAAAGGTGAGAAGAATGGATGGAGGATGTCTCATCTGTGATAACCATTTACGTAGCAATTCAATGTCATCTGTACTCACTTCTTCATCAAATGCTACCTTCAACATCTTCACGCGATCATGAAATGATCGTATGAGGGATGATCATCATGAAAATTACATCATTTAATGTAATTTATTGAGATGCATGAAATGAAATGAAAAGCTTCATGAATATTCAAAAAGTCAAAGAATTCACGAATTCACTGGTTCTACAATGAACAAAAATTAATCTCACAAGCACATATGCCCAACAACAACGTTTCTTAATAATATCAGTTTTCTTATTCTAACAGTTATAAATCTATAATAGCACTGCACAAACTAGACGAGTGTGATATCAACTGAATTCAAGTAGAAATGTCAACAGTGAGTTTAAAATTTCATGCAATTTAAAAAAAACTTTTTTACATAAACATAGGGCTCAAATACAAAAAGTATCATTAATACTGTGTGAGGCATAACAAATATAACTTAGCAAATAGCAGACTAATGGATGCAACAGATAAAATTAGACAGACAAATACAAACACACACACAAACACACACACGTATATATTGTTATAATTTTGTCAAAAATATTTGGCCATCAGCATGGTGTCAAGGTTATAAAGAAATGCGTAGGTTGCATTCTATTTATCAATCTTATAAGCTAAAAAAAGTCAACAACAAAACTATAGAATAAATATTTGAGAGAACAGCATAGTCTAACAAATACATCAACAAATGCAGTGAAGACATTCATGAAAGAATAAAGAAAGCAACCTGGAAAGTTGCGGACCTGAGTTGTACAGCCTCCTGCATCCAGAGATCTTTGTGGTTGAGGTACTGTGCATTCAATTTTTTCTCTTTCGTTAGAGAGGATATTGGAAAACTTCGACAAATTGATTGCTCGCCAACTGATTTGTTTAAAGTTTATGTACGGTTGTACGTTCACAAATGCGTAGCGTGGCGCACATTATCATTTGCTAAGATGTACGTCAATGTTTAAAATTTATAAAATAAGTGCCATGCCCCCAACGCAACCATTGCCATTCTGCCCATCAACATTACAAATCGTAAGGTAGATAGATAGCTCACCTAGTGGATCACAAGATGTACCCTTGAATATGACCCTGTACGACGTGAGAAAGATGGCCCCCTCCGCCGGCAGATACGCAGGCCCTCCCATGACGCCTCCTGTACCCTCTTCACGTCCATCTGGAATCAGGTAGGCCCTCAATCCCTCCAACAACATCTCCTCGCCAACTAAGAGGACTGGTGCCAGGATGCGAGGCTGCGTGTGTGTGTGGTGTGTGTTCGTGTAGTGTGTGGTGTTTGTGTGGCGTGTGTGTATGCCAAGATGAAGTAAAAATAAAATAGGAATATGAGAAACATGCACCTTAGGCATGGGAGGCAGTCTTTGTATTTCCTGATGAATGGCTTCCAATGTCTCCAGGTGCATGTCTATGACGCCTGCGTGAAGTTAATAAACCTTATTTATTTTGCAATAATTTTTAACTTGATTATAAAATGTGTCAGCATTTAGTTCGAATTATTGAATTTAAAAAACATACTCAATTGATAAAAACAGGATTTTCAAAACAGAAAAACTGTTTAAAACGAAAAAAAAACAGCCTTTGGACATGATATATCACTAATTTACGACAATCAGTTTTACAATCAAAATGTCGGCTGGAAAGCTTCATTCACACATCATGAACTATTGGAATGAACAAAATATACAAATGTTACAGCTGAGATATTCTAATGTATGCAATTACCTGGAACCATTTGATGCAGTGATTTTATGTGGTCAGTCGATACGCCACTTTCCATGCAAACTTTGTCGATGAACCTCAAAACAAACTTAGTAACATTTGCCCCGATCTCATTCATATCTGGGTCGTCTATTCCACTTTCACCGTCCATACTGTCGCTGTCTGCCGCACTGTAAAAAAGGATGATTGTGATTACCAATTGAAATGACCAATGAATGGTGACCAATGAATGGTGACCAATGAATGGTGACCACTGAATGGTGACCAGTGAATGACCGATGACCAACCTATTAGTAACCATACTGCTCAGACTTTCACCTTCCATGCCCATCACATCTTTTGGAGTTTTAGTAGCATCGAGAGGTATCCTGAGATAGACCATGCGGTTGGCATAGTGGATGGCTTGACTGTACACTGTCGATTCCTCGTTCTTTATCATTTCCGACTTCTCTTCTTCACTCAAATTGGGCCAGAGTCTCATCTTATGTTAAACATAACATAGTAATATTAATGAGTAGCAATTATTTATGCAGTAATAAGGCAGCACCGACAAAATTGAAATGAGATGTTTTTTATGATGAAAAAAATTTAAAAGTTATTGATTTTGATATGAAAACTTTGAAGACCAAGATCATAACGTAATCACAGAATTAATGATATGCTTAAAAACTTCAATACTCAGTTAAAATTGTGATATTCATGGCGTGCAGTACATTAACAGAAATATTCCCAAAATTAGAACACGTCAGAAATAAGATAAAATTTTATGGTATAAAATGAAATGTTAATATGCTAGATAAAAATAAAGTCAAAGAGAGCAGAAGATATAATTTTTCAAATAATTCTGTAAACTGTGTCTAAAAATGTTTCCGACTTGTTCAGCAGCAATTTCAAGGGCAGCGATAGACCTCTGGTGTGCAGCGTTGTTCGGAGGATTCAAGGAAAATGTCGACCATCGTTTGGAATCGTTGCGACGTAGCGTGGTGTCGTTCGCTGAAGGATCAGTACTGTTCATTTCCTGAACGATGTTCCAGACATGTGTTTGTCAAACATGAACAACATTTATTTGATCAAAAATTTTCAACATAAAATGATGAATATTTTGATCAGAAATTATAAAAAACTAGAAATTTTTCAAACAGCTTTTAATTAACTTGTCATGTTAGTTAATGCCTAAATGAAGATGGAACCCTGGCTTAACCATATAGAACAAGAAAGAATAAGAAGTTTTATACAATTTAAAAAAAAAACCTGATAGCTAATAAGTCTAATTAATAACTATTAAAATACAATTTTGTTGAACAAAAAGAAAATAATATAAATAAAATTTGAAACAAAATCTTCTAATCTAACAGAAAAAGCAGAAACTAAAATAAATTTGATGACAATGTGGAAAGCTAAAAGATGTGAAAGAACGTTCCATACGCTAAGCAGTAGTAACGAGATAATAATTAGCGATCAGAAGACACTAACATCTGCACTGCACTGCATGCTAATCTGCTGCAATGTTTTTGCGTTGTTGTTCTGATTGACGTACAGCTGACATATTTGCTGCTGAACGTCTTGGTAGAAGGCGGCCTCCCAGAACTGATGACTAGACCAGACGGGGTGATCTTGCACGCACGTGTACGCGAACTGAATGACGCCAGTGAATAACTTCTGCATGAATTAGTAGATCAACAAAAATAAACAATTTAATTAAAATAATTCTATAATGTTTTTGTTTACAAATGATCAACAACTATAAATAATTTATTAAATTTAATTTGCTAAGAAATGTCAGAGAATAGTCGTCGACGAAATGAAGGCGAATGAATGATGCAAAAAAAAATGTTCTAACCCTGCAGAATGACATGGCGAGTGGCAAGATGGCGGTTGCTACTCCATTCTCATCCATCACGGAATCATTCTGCTCATTTGCATGTTACCAGTGAAACATCGGTGCAAATTGAGCAAGTTATTGCAAGTTTCAATAAATAATTTTTAAAGAGGACAGCAGATAGATAAGTCAATAAAATTTTGAACCAAAATTTCACAAACAGCATGCTTATTTAATTCTTATAAAATTATTATTTTTTATTAACAAACAAACTGTTCTCATCAATTTAATTTACACCCAAATTGTGTAGAGATATATTAAAAAAAATATTTCACAAAATTTCTCTATTTAATTTCTAACATAAAACAAAATTATTTGTACTTTCAATGGCTCAATAAAAATGAAGCGTTACATAGCGAATAGGGCAAATGATAGAAGATGATAGATAGGGACCTGGAGAGCAGAGTTGAGCAGTCGCACCACCATCTCAAATTGCTGGTGCTCCAGTAAGGATCTGTTGCTTTTTACGTGGAAACCAAGTTCCTCAACAAGAAGCAGCCTTGCTACTTTTGTCTTCAACACCTTCAACACCGCTGGAATTATCTGCATTTAGAAAAATATTTAATAAAGGTTAAAAGGTCATTCTATCTTGTGCACTTGCTTCAGAGGTACCATCGACAGACAAACAGCGTATTAACGAATACGCGTGAAAACGACGCATCACATAAAATGCATATGATAGGCGGGAATCAATTTGCATTCAAACCATTCCAATTCACACAGCAAGACCAGACGCCTTTAACCATTGAGCCACCACGCCAAATAATATTTCAAATGTAATAGCAAATGATATTTGGAATATATAAAAGAGAAATAATGTTGAAATATTAGGAACTATCAATATAAAATGCAATCATGTGAGGAACATGTGAGGAACATTAAATTCAACCAAAAGTTAAATAATTATGTTAAAATGTTAGAATATTAATTAATAAACATCAACAAAAAATAAATCAAAGTTTGAAATATAAATATAATTAATACAAAAAATAACAAACCTTTCTTGCATCAGAGATTTTATTCTCGAAAATGAAAGTGATGCAGTTCCTTAGAACCTCCAGCCTTCGTGCATTGGTGGAAACAAGTTGAGCCTTCTCAACCTGCGAGTGTGTCAGTCTCGTGCCAGTTGGAACAATGCGAGGGTACTGCTGCCACATCGGGCTGGGTCTGAAAGTTCATTCAACGTTCAGAAATGTACAGGAAAGTAGTCAGCTCACTAATTATTAACCAGGTATTGATTAAATTAAATAAGTAACTAACATTAACTAACAGTAAGATAATTAAATTTAACAAACTTGGAAGTTGTGTCCCATTTACTCATGCCTTCTTGCATCAGTGCATGAACTTTGACCTCGTCCAAGATTGGGAAGAGGGGTTGATGAACTCTCAAGTGCGAGCCTTCAGTGGGTCGAGGGACTTTCTGGACGACGGTTGGCTGGGTTGGGTTTTCCTTCATAAATGTTCGAGCAGCACACGTTATTTGGTGAGATATTTATTATCTACAACGAATGCCAGCAGGTAAACTTTTAAGAATTTTTCAAATGAATTTTTAAATCAACATCTTGATGCACAGCTGTTGCACTGTGTGTTTCATTATTTATGTATACATTGAACTAAAAATGATAAAAATATTAGATAAAATTAAAAAATAAATTCATCAGCTTTCATACACAAATTTTTAAAACATAAAAATTACCAAATACGAGATGAAATGCAATGATATATAAAAGAGGAAATAAACAACTTCTTGCGTGCATTGAAATTAATAATAATATTCCAAAACATAAAAAACTTTGAATTGCATAACTCACTGGCTTATAAAACGAAAGTGGCAATAGTAAACTAAAAACAGTAAAACACTAACATTGGCATACAACTTTTCAGCAAGTTCTTTTACATGCTGCAGTGACCTGTCTGGGAACTGCTGCTCAACCTTCAACGTCTCATGCATTTTATCCAAGACCTAAGTAACGTTTCAATCGATAGCTGGTTTGCTTGATACGAGCAAATTTGTGAAAAATCAACAAATCTATAAGCCACATGCCTGATCTCAACAATAATAAAAATTGCCTGTTGACATACAGCTTTTTGAAACCATACACGGGTACAAACATTTATACATGCAAACAGCACTATATTGTCAGCTAAACTTTTCTAATTTCACAACATTGTCACAACATGTATTTCAATCAGGTTATGATCAAATAACTGGACAGAATATGAAAACCCATAGCTATCTGAAACCACCTAGTTCGTAAGAATACTATTAATATAATTAAAAATTATTCAAAATAAATTAAAAAAATGAATATCAATAACATCATGGCAAAACAAAAAAGACACAAATGAATGATGAGAACTAACATCATCAAAAATATCACATATTCTGTATGGCGGGCCCCTTTCAACGACAAATGTGTTGAAAGACATTGAATCAAGTACTCTCTTCAGAAAATCATCATCCATCAAGCCCTGATTACCAAGAAAACTAGCCTGCAAATATGTCGTGATGACTGAATGACTGCTGTTCATTTTTAGCATAGCTGCGCTTTTTAACTTTGCTGAAAAAATTATGGCTGAAAATTTTTATAATAAAATATTGAAAAATCTATACTAAAATGACAAGATTGAATAAAAAGTATGAGAAACTGGAAACAAATTGTAAGGAACGTAAAAAAATTACATAACAAAATGTAAAAAGAAATTACATAGCAAAGAGTAAAAAAAACATTGAGTAACAATATGACGCAAGCCAAACATACCAGAAGCAGAGATAGAGAGAGAGAGAGAGAGAAAGAGAGAGAGAGAAAGAGAGAGAGAGAGAGAGGGCAAACCTTGTGAAATGTGATGACGGGCTCGGCATTAATTCTTATCAAATTCAAACACGACCGATAGTGCATGAAAAGTTCTGCAAAGAATCGTAAAAATATCGCCCTTATTTCTTTGTCCTGAATATAAAAATGAAAAAATGAAAATACACTTTATTGTAGCAGTGCAGTAAATAAAACAAAACCAAAAATGTAAAAAAATGTTTGTTGAATATTTTAAAATTTATTAATTTGAAAATAGTTCGATTATTTTTCATCTAAAAACAACTTTAGAAGTAGAAAATAAATTTAATTAAAACAAACAGTTCGATTGCCATCAATCTTAGTTTTTATTTGAAAGCAAAGCGCAAAAAACGTTCAATTCCCGGTGATGCCGATTAAAAAATATAAACAGATAGAAGAGTCGCGTAAAAAATTCTGAATAAAACAACTCATTGGCACTACATTCAAAAATGTGTGTTTCTGCGTTTCTGTGTATGGTCAATATATAAAAAAAACATGCTAACGAGAATTTCCGGAGAAGAGAGCTTCGGTGTGGATGATGAGAATGCAATGTCAGCCAATGTTAGATCTGGTCTCAATATCTGCAGTTGTTTTTCAAAAATTCACATGCCGTTATATCGTCGTACCAAGCTGTTTTTTCAACCTTAGTAATTACTATTTTTTTGATTGTTCTTTATTACTCTCAGTGATATATATCCTTATAAATTATATAACAAAGATTAATTATAAAACTTTTACTTAAAACTTGTAATTAAATTTATGCTTCCATTTATTTATTCTTCAAATTTATATTTATATTCTTTATATTGATCTATTTCAGTAAACGCGTTACTAAGAATTAAGTAGCATCAAATTAAACCTCCACAATCTTCTACTTAAAATTTGTAATTAAATTTATGCTTATAGTAAATGTGTTACTGGGATTCTGAGCAGCATCAATTAAATCTCTACAACTTTCTTTGCCAGTGTAGTGCTGAGAACCATTGAAAATAAATATATAAATATATTTAATATAATATAATATATATATATAATATAATACAATATATATAAGCTATGCGTAGGGTGCATTCACAAATATCATCATTATCATATGATACACTAAAATAATAAACATAATCTTATTAATGATAGCGCCACAACCAATGAAAACAACAGAAATGACAAAACAACCAATAAAGAATAATAATAATAAAAAATAAAAAGATAAATGTTGGTCACCTGCTGGAGACAATGTTTCATCCTGCAGAGCATTGCCTGAGGCATGAGAGAAACGTGCATGTTGTCAGGTAGCTTCAGACTTCCTCCATCCAGATCAGCTACCACCACATCCAACTTTAATTCATTTCAACATATGTTATTGTCGTCAATGTTGTTGTTGTTATTTGTTGTTGTTATTGTTGTTTGTTGTTAGCAAATATAATATTACATTGGTTATTATCAAATGGTTATGTACTGTTTAGTTTAGTCTATAACTTTGCTTAAGTTTTCATAAAAAAAACTATACACAAGATCAAATAAACAGTTTAAAAATGTAAAATGTTTATTCTTAATATTTATAATTTTAGCACAAAGAGACTCTATTCACTTTTAAATGACTGAATATTTAAACATTTGTATTCATGGAAAAGTCCTTTATATTAATTCAACTTTTAAATATTTGACAGTTTCAGCTTTAGTCTGGTTTGTTTAACTTGCGAATCTTTACATTATACATTTTGCATCGAAAAATTTCGAAAACATTGGGTTCACCATTCTTAGAACAACAACGACAAGACATTAAAATACGAAACTAACAAATCACATCAGTAGCAGAACATCAATAAACAGCAATTACATCATCATCAACAAAAACATCAACAACAACAACGAATATCAACAAACAAACAAAACGTACATACGTACCAGTTCAGATTGATCAGGCTTTTGTGATGTGTGCACACCAGCAATGAACGGTGTTGGAGTACTCAAAACCTCCAACAATCCAACGGGAAGCAGAGGAACGTATACGTAACTGCACGATGGATACACACGAGAAAGTTATTCATAATAAGGGAGTGACTAAAGGAGAGGGATAAAAAGAAAAGGAAATGTAATATCCTACATAACTTAGGATAAAAAGAAACTACTACTGATGATGCACATAAAAGGTACAGTTACCATCTGGAAGAACTTCTGAAGACAATAGAAAATCTACAACTTGCAGATGTAAAAACTTTATTTTAGATTGAATAAAAAAAATTAATGACCAAAGAGCATGCCACTTTGATTGAAATGAGAAAAATGAGCGCTATGAATGTAATTATGGAAAATCCGAAAAACTTGAAAGTGCAAAGCTTTCGCTCACATGTCAATTATTATTTTTATTATTATCATTATTTTAATGATATGATCATAAAAATTGGGATGGTTTTATTCAATGCCATTTCTTCATATGATTCATAATGATGATGATCGTTTGTTTGCGCATTTGAGAAGAAATTAAAAAAATAAAATGGCTGTTACAAATCGGTAATAACATTATTCACATGAATGATGAACACACATACACACACAGCAATCGTAGCATAGATAAAATAAATATATTCACAGACATACTAACTTCCTCATGTCACGCAAAGAGAAATTAACTATCACACGCATGCTTACATTAGTATATAATTTCAAATTATCATCATCAATGTTTAATTAGTTTGGAGATATGGTACCATCAAAGCATCGCCTCCGAGATAACCACGGCTCTCATATATTTATATACAATATATGAACAGCACACATCGCTTCTACCACGCAATGTTGAGACAGCAGAGGTTTTGTAGGTCACTCACAGGCCCAGCGGTGTTTTTGTTATCATTGTTAACATACAATGCTGGACCTGACCTGTTCAGGTTTTGCAGGCCACCCACATGCGTCCTTTAGGGAGCCATCAATCGCTGCTTCTTTAGTTTTAACCAACAAAAACAAAACAAAAACACACAAACACAAAAAACTTAAAAGAAAAAAAAATCAACAAAAATAAACACAACTAGATGCAAAAGAAACAAAGTAGAATGCAAAAATAAATTACATTAAAAATTCAAGTGATCATAGGTAAAGTGATAAAGTCAAGTAAAGAACACTCATAAAGCAATAAATCGAAGCCGTTGACACATACACGCTTTGCATTCAGACTAGCATAAAAACAAACAACCTATATTTGAGTGGGTACATAAGCGATGTGAGAGCGTGGCTTGAATCTGTTAACCTGGAATAACTCATTGAATGGAACAGCACTTTGTGATCGCACAGTGCTGCACAGAACACAGTCAAACAATTTGAAATGCCTGAATAGTAAGAAGGAAAACATGTTTGTTGTTATTGCAAATGAGCCCTGACGTACAAACTATACATACAACCTATATTAATTTACAGCTACATGCTGCAAGACAAAATCCTCTCTAGTCATGATGATGATGATGACGATGGTGATGGGTACCATAGTGATGACGATGGTGATGGTGCAGCCATTTGTGTTCAATGGTTGCAATAATTTTATCATCATAAAATCAATAATGAAACCTTTCATTATTGCTAAAATTTATGATACAATTGAAATAGATAGATTTCATAGCAAGCAAACATTTCAAATATTTGCAATACAGTAGTAGGTCATTCATTCTTCATCAATATGAATGTGTTGAAAGAACATTCATATTGATGAACATATGTGATTCCAATTAATATTTACATCAGTGTGTTAAATTTATTTTGAGAACAAAAATTTAAGGAATTTCAATTTTTAAAAAAATTATATGTTTGAGGTGATGACTTTACATTTATTCTGCAAAAATTTACAAATTTTTGTATTTAAAATCCATGTAAATCTCCAGCACTTAGGGATCAACTTATATATAAAAATCAACATAACAAATATTTCAGTAGCATGCCATTTTTTTTCAAAAACATATTCCACTTTTATTCTATAAGAACCTTAAGTGTTTTAGTAAAATCTTTAGATAAGTAACTTTTTGCCACTAGTCAATCTATTCACGTGGAAGTTAATATTAATTCATTAAAAATATTTTAATCACATTTCAATCTCTCCATTCACATTGAAAAATTTAAAACATAATGTCAAATCCTCATTCGTGAGTAAACAAAATTACAAAAAATCAATAAAATAAATATTACGGTGTAATATAACTGAGGAGAAATAATAAACATGAAACCTAGAACCATAAAAACTAGTTCAGACAATGAGTTATATAAAAACAAATGCTATTGTCAGGTTTGATGGCTGTAATTCTACCAGGAAAAAAAGAAAAAATGAGCAGCATGTGATTGCAATTAAAAAGAACGAAAACAAAACAGTGAATAAATAATTCTTGCCAGTCAATTTATCGTGGAGCTCAAAATATCAACACAATCTTCAATATTGATCAACATTAAATCTAATGAATGGAGTCAGTCAGGATAAAATAATCTGTTAAAATCTGTGTGAACATCACAGCTCTGTAATCAGACAATTATAAATGATTTTCATCTAGAAATTAAGAGATAAAGAATGATATTTTTAGACTCAGGCTGAATTTGTTTTGAAACATTCTTAATATCAAGGTGAGCCTAAAACTGACAAAAACATCTGCTAGATTTGTTATATTGGCATTGAAAAAATACTACAATGATTTTGATAACATATTAAGCAAACAAATTCATGTGTAAAATAGTAACATATAAACATATTATCGATATAAATATAAATATAACAATGTAAAATTAGAATGAAAGAGTTTTTATTACACCACAATAATGCAAGTTGTAGATAATACTGATTAACAAACACATTAGTATCATTATTTATGCATGATATAAAGCAAGCACAATAAACTAAAAAAATACTGATATATTATTACAACGCTATTAACATTAACCTACTACAAATAAATTAGTTTGAGTGATTCTGATTTTACATATGCTGATGTGCGGTGCGTGCGCGTGGGTGTATGTGTGAGTGTGTGCGCGCGCATCTGTTTTGACACATGAGAATTAGTTGCAGAGAAAGTTGCTTAATTTCAAACTCTTTCTTCCAATCCTTTCAGATGATTGTATTACGCGAGCACTGACAAATGTATGTGAGAAAATCTAAACAGCATCATGCTAATAATGAAATGCATATAAATAAAACAAGCTTTAAAAAACAGCTAGAAACGTTACAAAAAAAATTATTTTCTCATAGAAAATTAAACAAAACAAATAAGGGTGAAAATGGCGTTGAAATCATCGGTCACATCATCTTTTAAACATTTAACAAACCACTAACAAGAGACCATGAATTGTCGTAACGTGTGAATGAACTTTAAAAAATTCAAGACACCAACTGACCAAGTTGTTCGAAGAGTAGAGAGACAGATGTGCCAGTATTAGGCAATGTGGGACACGATGATAGCTGGATGTTCTGCCGGTCACCTGCTCCTATGGAAAACTTGACCAGAGGACCACCTTTATTATGTGATCAATTTTTAAACATTTCAATTAAACACTCGTTCAATGGCTAGTTAAAAAAGTCATAGTATATAATTTATAAAAAAAAAAACATAAAAAATATAAACATAAAAGTGTGAATTGTTAGTTATCAAGCAGCATACATTAGCCAACATACAATTAGTCGTCATTAATTATCAATCATCCAAATCATCCAAACACACATATTTGTATACACACAGTCACCGAGGCACTCATGCACACACGCACACACACCCACACACACACCCACACACACAAATGGACACGGACACTAATAAAAAACAAAAAGAATAATAATGAATTATAACAAAAATGATATAAAATAATAAACCATGTGGAGGAATTTGAACAGCAGTCAGTATGTTGGCGACTAGAACCTCAAAGCTTATGCTCAGGTTGTCTATGTAAGTTGCGTATATTATCCCTAGGCAGTTCTGATTTAAAGAAAATTTATCGTCATTATCATTCTTATCATCAGATCATCGTTATCGTTATCAGGATCATCGTCATCCTCTTTGTTTTTATTATCATCATCCACATTACCATCGTCCTCATTGTTATCATCACAACATTGCCAAAAGTTAATTTGATTTCTTCAAAATGTATGAACGAGTGGGTAGATTGTTTTTCCATACGCTGCATACAATAAACAAAATACTTAATCCACTTTTTAACTGGAAAAACACATAACATAAACGCTTATTTTTGAAAAAAATAAATTAATTTTTTTTCTGAAAGTTTGTGGCTATCAGCCATCGTAATCAGTTTGATAGCTTATACATAAGATAAAAAAATTATTTCAATAATAATAACAATAATTTGTAAACAATAATTAACAAGAAAAAGAATGAAATTAGACTTAAATTTATAATTTATAGCCATTAGAGTTTAATTCTTTGTAATAAAGATCATTCCCAATTAACAAACAGTTTGATAAATTGTGTGAAATGCAAAAGTGTGCTGCGTGTGCGTGTGTGTTTGTGTGTGTGGCGCAAAGAACACAAAAGATTGAAAAAAACCATATAATCCACCTCCCTGCAATTTGTTATGACAAGCTGCATATGGCATGTAGATTAAAAAAATTTCTAAAATAATTTTAAACAAAATATTGAAAATAAATCACATGGCAAATTTTTTCTAAAAAAAAAATAGAAAAATATTAAAGTGTGAATTTTTTTCAGACCAAAAAAAGAAACAAATGTCTAAGATGAAATGAAGAAGAATCTGGCATTGTTCAAGACTGCACTGTTGTGTCACATTGTTGTTTATTGTAGTCCCATGAAGGAAGAGATTTAAAATAAATAATGACCCAAAATGATCATCTTTAACCAGTGATGATATAAAAACATTTCTAACGAATGATATATTAATAGCTCATCAAATAAGTTCAATTGAAACAGAGAATGTAAGAGATTGAAGTAAGAATTTCAGGATTTTTTTTTTTAAATCATCTAATTTTTCGTGGGTTAGCTAGCTTATTAATGAACTAGCAGGTTAACGCCTATTTCAAAGTTCTTAACTCTACAGAAAAAATGTAATGAAACTTGTTTAAACTGTAAGAAACTAAACTTAAAAATCAAATAAAATATTTGAATAAATGTTAAACTTTGATAGTTCAATAAATTATGAGAATGAAATAAATTCAATGAAAGGAAACAGATGTCAACATTATGAAGAATTAAGGAGTAAGTACTTGAAGAAAATAAATATTCAAACTTTAATATAGACAAGTACACACAAGTGTACATAAGAAATAAATGTAACATCAATAATAAAAAAATTATTATAAAAAAATAAATTGGAAACAAGTGCAAGAAGTACTTTTCTTGGTAAAAAAAAAATACCACACACATATAAAGTTTGAAATAAAAAGGCATCTGGGAAAATCAATGATCTATTTATTCCTTCAAGCATGTGATGCATTCATTCACTGAAGAGAAAAAACCGCGGTGATGATGATAGGGTTATGGTGATCATTCCACAAATAGTAACCAATGGCAACTCGGGGATTGAAACATGAGCAAACATTATTAAAACAGCAACAACACCAATGAAAATACAGTACAATACAATATAATATAATATAATACAATACAATAAAATACAATATAATATAATATAATATAATATAATATAATATAATATAATATAATACAATACAATGAAGATACAATGCAATACAATACAATACAAAACAATAAAATGCAATACAGAACAACACAATGCAGTGCAATACAGTACAAAACACCTCCACACAGATACTGTTGTAAAATTGATCATTAAACTAAGTCATTTACTTTAATGCCTTTATAATCCTTGCATAATAAGTACAGGATTTATAAGATCATGAAGAAAATTCTGCGTAGCAAAATAAGATTAATTGAAGAAAATGAAAACTGTCATCACGTTATTTCAACAAATATGTGCGTGAGTGCGTGTGAGTCAAATTCATTTGCGGCATTATATAAAAAAAAATAATTTATTTAAATATAACAAATTTATACTTCTATTAAATTATAAAATGATGCCATTGATCTGTTCTAACATAAAAAGAAACTAAAAATAACATTGATCAAAGCTGAAAATTTCATTTGAAATACATAGAATACAGATTCATTGAAGATGTATTAATTTGATCATTGATTGGAACACATACACATAAATATTTGAACCTAACGCAACACAAGACAACACAAGATAGCACAACGAAACACAAGATAACACATCATAACCCAGATTAATGTGAATAGGAGATAAAAAGTGAACTTGAAGGTACCTATGTTTCCTTCCAACAAAAATAAACCTCTATACTCTAAAGAAAACAAAAACCTAAACAAGTATAATACTAATTATATCCACTAAACTTTAAGCAAAATAAAAATGAACAAGACATTTATATTTTCAAAAAACTTAATAATGATTTGTCAGGAATATTCTTGAATAACTAAATTATAAACAAAATATATATATATATATATATATATATATATATATATTATGTATTTTATATATATATATATAATAAATAACTAGGGAATGGTCATTAAAATTAAAATAAAACATCCTTGCTCCAAAAAATGGATGCGTAAACAGTTAGTGTTTCAGTGAGCGCTTATTAAAAGCACTGCCTTACAGACTTCATTTATTTAAAATCCTGGGTATAGAAAGAAATGACATTTACATTTTTTTTCACCTAATGCGTAAATTGTGGGGCCAGATGAACAGTGCAAACAAACACACTGTGTACAAGCATACGTGCACACACACACACATCACACACACACACACACACATACATAAAGTACATGGAAATGGAATGACATTGGCTGGTGCATGTACATGTAGAAACATGATGATCAGCAGGCATGCCTATTGAAATGAGAGCACTGTCCCATTCACTTCATGTTGCATTAAACTTTACAGTGTATATAAAAACAATGTATGAATTCCAAAACGCTGTTATTCAGGCCAAATCTTTACTAAAAATTGTCACCTGGTAGTAAAATTTTTAACCACAGCCTAAAAATATAAAATTTTAATAAAAATATAAATAAAAGCAGCATAATTGCTGTCTTAGATGTTGTATAAATTACATCAAATTCCGCATTTTTTCATTGATTCAACTTCATGAAACAAGAGACAATAAGCAACTTTTAAAAAATAATAATGATGATGAATGCAGAATAATAATGTGTGAAAAAAAAAGAAAAAAAAATTGTAAAGCAATTCATTCATTCAAGCTTCCATATTCAATGAGCAACAAGCAAATTAAAAGTTCAACTGACAATCATTCATTGCATTAATTTGCAATGAAATGAAAACTTGTATTTTTGTCAGAAGTAGATTCAGAAAAACGCATTCAAAAGCAAATGTTTTTTTTTTCAATAGTGATTACACATAAACTATGTTACAAGCAGACGGAACAATAGAAATAAATGTAGAAAAAGTTAACTAACTCTGAATACTTCAAAGCAATCCAATCGAGAAACCAGCACCAAACTTTTTGGAGCGTATAATTTAGAGCATCGAACGACCCCCTCCCCATCTTCACTGCCATCTTCACTGTCGTCATCATCCACTACGTGTTCCTTTGCAACTGTTTCCATCACAACATCCTCGCTGAATGTCAAACTTAAGAAATGTCAGTAATGCTTTGTTTATTAATTGATAAGTTAACAATGCATTAAATAACATATTCAATTTTTTTTCATATTTGTCACATACAAATTAAAAGAATTCAAAACAGTATACATAAAACTATCAACGAAACATTTTGAGTCATGTCAGAACAACAACAGTTACAATGGATACAATTTAAAAAACAACACACAACAAAGCTGAAACATGAATGATAAGATGAACAAACCATGCACAATAGTGTCGATATGCATCAATGTCCGTCAGTACAGACACGAAGAATGTTGGTGGTTGCTTCTGAGTGCCCAAGGACCAACCGCATGGTTGACAGAACTGTTTAAACGTTAATAAACTCAAATTTATTATTGGGTTATAAAACGTTTATTGATTGAAATTATTTTCATATCCAATCTTTGAAATTAAATATTGGTTAAGCACATCATTTCCAGATAGCATTCAAATGCAAAAAGTACAAAAAATAGTTGTGGTTACATTTTTGTGTGACTGTTATAATACTCAAAGCAAATAATGGATTTTTGAAGTAGATTTCAGCCCTAATGTTCTTAATAGATGAAAATTTCATCACAATGCAGCAGGGTTAAAAATTAAGTCCATGTTCATTTAATAACACTGTAGCAAATGTTGCTGCTGATTTATTTCAAGAAGCAAGAAAAAACTACAACAATAAACAAAAGAAAATTTTCAGCCGGCAACTTTAAAAAGTAGTATTATCTTAAGATCTGTTCGAGAAAATAACCCATGTTCCACTTATCATCATCATCATCATCACCACAACCATTACCATCATCATCATCATCATCACCACAACCATTACCATCATCATCATCATCATCCCGTTGTCATCGTCATAATCCTCATCAACACCATCTTCACATCACCATTATCATTGTTATCATTATAACTACTGCAATCATCATCACATCAATGCATTTATCTGCCAAACACCATCAACCTTGAACACATCAGAATTAGCATTGGCAGACACAACCATCGCTGCTGCAGTCACTTACTACATTCATTCTTACCATGGCCAACCTTATTGTTAATGATGAGGTAAGTTACACAAGAACTTTTCAACAATAAATTAAAGTAAATGGGAGCAAACAAATAATAAGTGTAAGAAGTTACATGATGGCAAGAGTTGCAACTTGAGAGAGGAACATTTCACCACTGGCCATCAAAATTTGAACTTAATCTGGCTAGAGGTAATATATAACCTGAGGGTACCAGCCAGCACTTAAAAACAATTAGCAAAAACTGCTTTATTACTTTGCCCAAAAAATTCAGTAAATTCAAATTTATACAAATCATTAAAAATCAGCTACTTCACATTAAACTTTTAAATTTTTTTAGTCTATTTGAATTTTCATTAATTTTGAACTTTCAAACTCCATATCTTTTCTTTGTCCCTCTCTTCATTCTTTCAATCCATTAGTTAACATGCACTAAAACTTCAATTCATGAAGAAAATGAGAGTACAACTTGACATAAGAACCACAAGTTTTAAAATGTGTGTACTATTGGTGTGTATGAAATGAAGTCTGGGGAGCATTAAATTTTATATTATGAACTGTTCAATTTAGGTGCAATGAAAGTTTAACCATTGGAAAATTTATTGCTAAAAAATCTATGGTTCAGACGTCACAATCTAAATGTATATAAATGTTATCAGTAAGAAAAATATTGACTAAATAACAATTAAGGTTTCTTCCACATAATTTTTTTAGATGAAATTTTATCCTGTGTTTATAAATGAACATTGGAAACATGTGTAGTAGTATATAGATTGTATATAGTATGTGTGTGTGCCTGTAAACATAAGTGCATCTGTGTTTGAGGGTGTGTGTGTACGCGTGCGCGTGTCTGTGTGTGTGTGTGTTTGTGAACATATGTGTGTTAGTTTAACAGTGAAAAATAGCATACTTAAAATATTCATTTAACACAACTGCATCCAATTAATGAATTTCATTGGAACTTCATCATCCTCACAATATCAGAGCTGTGTTATCAGTTGTTAACATCACTATGATAATAAATAATAAGATATAGAGGACTAATAACAACAACTACTATACTTAATAATCCAAAATTACTGTTTCAGTACTAATTTTCTCAATATGCTTGTATTAGTACCATAAAGTAATAAAATAGATTAAGAATTAATTAAAATAATTTGATAATTAAATGATAACAATTAGATAATCAATTAATTATAAAAACATGATGTTTTTAGATTCGCAAAATTTCTCTATTGAATGGGAAATAAATGCTCAATTATAAATTGTAATTGAAAAAAGATTATATTGAATTTTAACAAATTTTTTTTAAATAATTAGATATCATAATACCAAGTGAGATAAGTAGCTCAGACAGTAGAAAAGCATTATATATCAAGCAATTAACTTCAACAATCAATTGCGAAGTAACCTGGTTCAACTGCTGTCTGAGAAAAACTAATAGATTAAATATCAGCATTGTGTGAATGATATGGATGCAAGCATATTTACAGTACATATGCACATAATGTTATGCAGATGAGCAGTCTTTGTGGCCCAAGATGAAACATTTCACACACACACACAAAAACACACACACGCACCAAAAAATGAAATAAAGTAACAAACAATTCCCACGCACAAATAAGTAGATGTGCCTATTCCACAACTGAAATTTACTTTAATTAATGCAATAAAGAAAAATATGGAATTATCATTTCATTCACTATGTAAAAAAAAGTATAATTTTGACTACTCTTCCACAACTTACACTGATTAACTTCAAACTACTGTGGACAAAGAATCTCAGACAGCATAAAAAAAATTAGGACCATGACTGTTTGGTATAATGTGGAATAGAGATGAATATAATTAACCAACAAGTGGATCATATGTTTGGAAAGAAATTGTCAACTGAACTACATTTTTTATTAAAAGAAACAAAAATCATAAAACCTTAACTGCTAATTTAAAATCCAAATAATCTTAACTGTGCAGTAAAATTGTAAAAATTAAAAAATAATAATAATAAAGATTAAAAGATAAAAAAGACATTAAAATACAACAATTAAACACAAGTAGTGGGACATAAAAAAAAGCTAGGGTAGGGCCATATTATGAAAAACTGTACAAGGAAAGTAATATAAAACTTGCTAATAACTGCTTTCTTTTAAGCCATCATATATATGCTAACATTACTAATACTGATCATTGTTACTTTGATCATCATTATAATCATCATCGTCGTCGTCATCACAATCGTCGTCCTCCTCCTCCTCATCATCATCATCAAAATTGCCACCATCATCATCATAATCTACATCGTCATCACACCATTATCACCACTTTAATCAAAAGGAAGAAAATCAGTAACAAGCAGCTAGCTAATCATAGACATCTGCAGACATTATCACTATTAATTATTAACATTAAATATAGTAGGACAAAAAAAATATCATCAATCTTAATATTTATCATTATCAATAAATACAATGATATTGATATTATTGATTATTCAACATGGCGCAGTGCAACACTGTGACAAGAAATACAACTGACAGAAGAAGAAACATTTCATGCAAGTTCATTCATTCATCATTCATTCATTCATTCATTCATTCATTCATTCATTCATTCATTCATTCATTCATTCATTCATTCATTCATGATCATTCATTTATTCATTCATTCATTCATTTATTCATTCATTCATCCATCCATCCATTCATCTATTCATTCATTCATCAAGACATTCAGCTAATCATTCTGATTTTCGATGTTATCAACACCTGCACAACCTCTTCAGGATGGGCAACTAACTCAAAAGTTGTTCACTATTTGGCAGCTATGTCATTTCATTTCATTAACTTATTTAATTACTTTTAGTTTCATCTGATTTGACGAAATTAATAAAAAAATAATGATTTAACAGTTTCAATTTTAAAAAAACCAACAAGTGTTGCACTCCTGTTGCAACAACAACAAACGTGACAACAACAGAAACAAACATGACCACAACAACAAACATGACAACAACAACAACAAATATGTTGACAACAACACAAGTGACAGCAATGACAAACAAAAAACAACAATGATGAAAGCATGAAACAAAAACAAGGAAAAAACAGAGATTAAAAATAAAGTTGTGATAGTGGGGAAATCCTTTGTTATCATAAATAACTGTTATCTTTCTGCTCTGCCTAACTTATCCCTAATGTTTACAGTCAACAATGTAATCATCAACATTGTCTATAGCATCTCAATCATTCATTTGTATTTCTGTATCTACAGTCAACTGTGTTATCAATGTGATCATCATAGTACTCATGATCGTCATCATTACCATTATCACCACCATCATCACCATCATTTATTGCCTCTTCAATGTTATCTCATCATCATCCTCATCGCCGTCGTCATCATTTTACTCATAACCATTATTTTATCTTCCCCATAAAAATTTAATCACCACCACCAACACAATTATAACCACCATCCACATCATCATCATCATCACCATCATCATCACCATTATCAGGAAATCAACTGACCAATTCAATTCCTTGTGTGAATGGACAGTTATCCCAATCCTTCTCTGGGAATCTCTGTATTATCTTTCCCACACCCACACCACCTGCTCCTGTTCATTTGTATTAATTTTTATTATTATTATTATTACAATTTTTATTGTTATTATTATTATCATATTTGGATAATTTATAAATAGAAAAAATGTATAAAAAATGAAAACTTTTAACGAAAAAATTTATTTAAAAAAAAAAACAGCAGAAATGTAATTTTGTTGCACATCAGATTAAAAAAAAGTACATATTTTCCTTTTACGTGGAAAGAGGTTTGTAACTTAAAGAATGTACCATCATATCATCAAATCATGATTAACGAGGTGTGATGATGACATGGCAAGGTTGTTCCATGTGTACTAACATAAATGGGCTTGCATATAAAGCTTATTATATAAGAGCAATCCATGTTAATGAAACCTAGAAGAGCTATAAAATTTCACAGGCCTGACCCTGAGATGTGAACAGTAATAGAAAATAAGACATGCAGAAAACCTGCATACAGTAGTAAAACTGTCAATCAAAATTACACATTCACTCCACTAAATGTCACTAGAGTGTACTGTGCACATTAGCACAAGTGCACAATTTTATAAAATTACATTACTTAATGGGTGGTGCACAAATAACTTTAAGAGCTTGATACATTTGTATCTGATTACTTTTCAATCTCATGTAGACTATTGATAGCCCGCATACAAGCTCCTATGTAAAAATAGAGACCTACATACTGCTTCAAATGTATATATATAGAGAGAGACAAGTGGCAAGTGTTTAATTCTTCCATCTGTATGAACTGAACACACTATTTCACAACTGCTGGCTTCATGTTGATCAGGACATGACAGACAAACATGATATAATTTCTACAAACAGAAATGAATGTTCTTAGTGTAGATAATATAAGTCTAGTTAATATACACAAGCCTATTGTTGTATACAAAGAATTATCTTCAATTTTTTCTACCAAACATTAAAAAAAACAAATAATTAATAAAACAATTTTAAAAAATATTGGCTTTCTTATTTCTCCATTCACAAATGTTCTATCCAACTTATTAGAATCAATATACATTTCAGGTTCAAATTAAAAAGCAACAGGTAAAAACATTATGTGCCACACAATTCAATGAATATTCATTCAACTGAAACAGCACTAACTCGTCTGTTGGTAGATGCGTACGAAGCTGTTGACAAGAAAAGGGTTTCTCTCTTGGCACTTTTGGATATGAGTGCAGCTTTCGACTGTGTCAATCATGACGTGCTGCATTTGGTTTTGAAAAATCAATTTGGTTTGAAAGGCAAGGTACTTGGTTGGTTGTCATCATTTGTTTGCGAGAGAACATATGAAGTGGTCTACGGGGTACAAGCATCAACAGTCATGGAAATAAAGAACGGAGTTCCTCAGGGCTCAGTGTTAGGCCCACTCCTTTTTCTCCTGTACACTTCAGGAGTAGCGAAATTGTTGAAACATAATGATCTGCGCGTGTACGCATATGCAGATGACATACAGATCATCAGCAGCGCTGGGGTGGGGTCGGTGGGGGAAATGGTTGAACTTGTCTCAGAGAAAATAATGTGCCTAAAGAATTGGTTGAGTTCGTACAGACTAAAATTAAATGAGGAAAAAACACAGGTAATGTTGATTGGAACTAAACAACAGCTCTCGAAAACTGATGTAAAGAGCATAAGATTTGGGTCTGTGATGGTGCCGTTCACTGGTGTGGTGAAAAATTTGGGTTTCTGGTTGGACAATACACTGAATATGCATCAGCATGTGAATAACCTCGTTAGGGACTGTTCATTTCAGCTTCGACAGCTTGGCCGCATAAGAGCCTCTCTTGATCTGGATACAACAAAATCTCTGATCCATGTGTTTGTGGTCAGTCGGGTTGATTATTGCAACAGTTTGCTGAGCGGATGTCCGAAGTCAACAATATATGGGATAAAATCAATACAAAACAGGGCAGCGAAGCTTATAGTACAAGGAAAAAAATATGACCATGTGACCCCAATTTTTCGTGAATTACATTGGATGCCAATTGAAAGCAGAATCGTTTTCAAAGTTTTGGTGATGATGAAACGATGTATGCAAGGTTCGGCTCCGAAATATCTAATGGATCTGTGCAAAAAAACACCAATAACAGTGGCGGGATGTCCGAAGTCAACAATATATGGGATAAAATCAATACAAAACAGGGCAGCGAAGCTTATAGTACAAGGAAAAAAATATGACCATGTGACCCCAATTTTTCGTGAATTACATTGGATGCCAATTGAAAGCAGAATCGTTTTCAAAGTTTTGGTGATGATGAAACGATGTATGCAAGGTTCGGCTCCGAAATATCTAATGGATCTGTGCAAAAAAACACCAATAACAGTGGCAGGTAGATTTTTAAGATCTTCCAAAAACAATGATTTTTAGAAACCGTTGGTAAACTCATCAATGGCGTCAAGAAGTTTTGCAGTGTATGGCCCAAGGATGTGGAATGATTTGCCAACAGAGCTGAAAACAAATGAGATTGATGAAGTGATTTTAGAAAAAGAATCAAAGCGCACTTGTGGGATAAAGCGTTTGTGAGAACTTGAACGAGCGCTATATAAACTCTACATATATATATATATATATATATATATATATATATATATATATATATATATATATATATATAATTCAATGAATAAAGCTTATAAATATTTTATCAGCATTCACTCTGCAGCTCCAGATATTGATAATTTATATTGACAACAAATTTCACATTGAATACTGAAAGGTTGTTAACAAAGTTATTTTTAAATACATTAAAAAATAAAAATAAAGGTTTTTTTGAGCTAATAAAAGGAATTTTGTACATTTAAAATGCTAAATAATCTAATGTAGACAAACTTAAAAGCTACTTCATTTCAGCAAAATAATTCAAAGCATCCAATGAAGATATAAATATAGTTTACCACATTCCTACCATATTCCTCCATATGATTTTTATCATCATCACTGAGTTACTCTCAACTTCATTGCTAATGTAATGTGGCAATTAATGTTATTAATGTTACAATTAATGTTATGTTTAATGTTTGTTACTCTATAAGTTTCCCAGTGCATATTAAAATCATTTAGGTTTGGCCTTCAAAAACTGTTAATAAATAAGCTCCATCATGCATTCTAAATTATATAAAAGAAATTAAAAAGTAGAGGAAGAGATAAGAACACAAACAAGCAAGCAAGCAAACAAACAACCAACCAAACACACATCAAGTAAAAAAAATTTAAATAAGAATCACTGGGCCAATCAGGTTATGTACATCCTTTAATAAAAAAAATAAAATGAAAAATAATTGAAGTATTTTGGATTTATAAGCCAACAAATTTATTTCTTGCTTTTATAAATCAATATGGAAAATAATTCTGAAAATATCAGAAGCCCATGATTTTGGAACATTTACATTTATAAATAATAAATAATTAACACATTTTCAAATAAGGCAATTTAACAAGATTAACCTTAGTTAAAATTATAATTGCGTAATAACATTCTTATAATCCAGAGAAATTTGAATTGAATAAATTAAACAAACTAGCAGCTATAAAGTCCATAAAATTATAGCTAGCTTATTTTTATGTCCAGTGTAAAGTAAAAAGTTCTTATTGGATTGCAAACAAATGATCACATCTACAAAGTTATGCACAGGTTATGACCAAGAAAACAAAATAAATAAAAGATATAAAACAAGCAATAACAATAAAATAAATATATTTAAGAACAATTGAATTGACATCAAAAATTAATTAATTACAGATGCTATGAAGTTAACAAACATCAATAAAATGTTTGTGACTTATTCTATAAAGATCATGATGGAGTATAGAATATGGATGAATCGTTTATGATATTCTGTTATTTGATGTAATTTGATGTAATTTGATGGTGGCCATTCAGTAATTTTCTAATCAGAAACAATAAAGCTGAAAATATATTGGGATGTTTAAATTTAAAACAAACTAATTTATAAATGCTGTCTTTTTTGTGAAATAACATAATCAAGATATGAATTCATATGTAATAGAGTTATTAATTTTTTTAATTTAATTTAAAATGCATTTAAGAAATATTTAAGTTATTTATTAATAATATTTTTTTCCAGTAAAAAATTTTTTCTTACTAAATGCCTTAAATAAAATTTTTTAAAATTTTTGATTGAAGGTTTGAGATTGGTAAAATTACACAATAATCTGAACTTGTTTTTAATTATTTTCACATTATATTTTTTAAATTTAATTATGGACATAAATTTGAAACATGCTTAAATGAAATTCCTAATTTTTATACTTAGGGATGGGACATTCTTTGGTCAAAGACTCTATTCTTTACTAAAATACTTTATTGTTCTTTACTTCCATCTAGTTCTACCCTATAAATTTCTTAAATATTGAATTTTTGTTATTTTATCCAAACTCATATTACACCCCAAAAACATCTCAAAAATTAAAAATCTTATTTTTAATTTTACATTCTGTTCAATTAAAAATTAATGAATTTAAAAAAGTTTCCAGCAAATTGCAAATATATAACAATAACTTATAACTCCTAACCCTATAAAGTATAAATAAACCATAATTATCCTGACACAATTCTGTACTAAAGTATTTAAAATATAATGACAACCTCAAAGCATAATATAATAAATAATTTTTAAGAATAATTTTATAATCATAAATAATAATTTTGGTTGTCTTAGCTTTAGGTAGAAGACTAGCTATTTAGTATTTATTGAAAAACTTTTACTAGTTGGAGTTAAGTTTTCAAACATGATTATATTTTAACATATACATACATAATTATTAAATAACAAATCAGTAAAAGTAAAGTAAATAAATAAAATAACCAGGTTAAAGTAAAATTAAAAAGACATCAAACATCAAATTATTAGTAATCTAAGTTATGTAATGTAACACATGAAAATGGTCAAAAAACCAATCTATCTAAGACTTGATAAACAATATTAAAGAAATAATTATCAATTTAAAATTATCAACTATTAATAATTCTTGATTCATTAATTAATTTTTAATAAGTCAATTTTCAATTTTATATTTAGGGGAGAGTGGGGATGGTTGAGACAAAGGGTTGGATGGGACAGGTCAATAATAAGAAAATTATGCGCTTTAAGGGTACTCTTTTAGTTTATCTTTGTCGAATATCATGTCATTTATGTTTATCTAAAAGCGAATCAAATTTCATGCACATTTTTAGTTTCCGGACTGAAAAAACTGTTTTTGGACCTCGAAAGTAAAATTTAGGTGATCACATTTTTTCGTTTTATTTTACATTAATTTTGTTTTTTTAAATACAGTTTGCTATTATTAATTTTATTGTTTATTTAGCGATTCTTCTCGTATAATATTGTCAAGTTAGAACTTTTATAACCTAAACCTTAGTTGGGGATGGTTGGGACAATCATTTAAAGGGTTGAATGAGACATCTCAATCAACCCTGAATAATTAATTATTATGTGTTCTTAATAACTCTTTACTTTTTAGTTATATAATCAGTAAATATAAATTTAGGTTGGTTTGTATTAATTTATCTGATAAATTAATTGAATAAAACATAAATTATTTATGTATTTTTTTTTTATTTATTTTTATTAGCATTATTTAATTTATTATATTTATTTTGGAAGACATGCCACGAACTCATATTCGAAAAACAGAAAGAGGGAAGTATAGTTTGGAAATTGTACGCAAAGCTGTTCTAATGGTAAAAAATGGAGAAGGGTTGAGAAAAGTGGCTAAACAGTTTGAGATAAACAAAACTACATTATCCCGATATGTTAAGAGATTTGCAAATAATGAAAAATCACCTATGATTAGTTTTTGGGGAAATCGTAGAATTTTCACATTAGTAGAAGAATTGATTTTTTGTAATTATTTAATTACATCATGTAAGATGTATTATGGTCTGACTGCAATGGAAATGAGAAAACTGGCATATCAAATGGCTATTAAAAATAAGAATAATACTCCAGATAATTGGCATTCAGGACAGATAGCCGGGAAGGATTGGTTTGATGGTTTCTTGAAACGAAACACGCAAATTTCAATTCGAAAACCAGAAACAATGTCAATGGGAAGAGCGTCTTGTTTTAATAAAACAAATGTTGCTGCTTTTTTTAAATCTAGAAGACGTAAAGGCTCGTCATAATTTTCTACCAAATAATATTTATAACATCGATGAAACTGGTTGCACAACAGTTCAAGGTGCGATAAAAGTTTTATCACCAAAAGGACAAAAGCAAGTTGGAGCGATTACGGGTAGTGAGGATCGAGGCAAACTGGTTACAGTTTGTTGTGCTATTAATGCCATTGGTCAAGCAATACCTCCGATGTTCATATTTCCGAGGGTTCATTTCAAAAGTCATTTTATAAATTTTGGACCTGCTGGTTGCATAGGAACTAGTCATCCTAGTGGATGGATGACTTCAGAAAGCTTCTTAATGTATCTGAAACATTTTGTTCATCATGTGAGTTTTTAATTATAAATTTGTTTAGAAATAATGATTGTTATTCAAATTACATATTTTAAGGTAAATTCAAATCAATAATTGTTTTTCAAGGTAAGATGTTCCATTCAGACACCTGTGCTCCTTCTCTTGGATAACCATGAATCACACTTCAACAGAGTCTACAGATCAAGTTTTTTCACAGCAGGATAGTGCCTACAAACCAAGTGAATCATCAAATCCCCAATTGAATAACACTATTGAAACTTCCAAAAATGTTCTTGATGAGATCGCTACAATATTTAAACCTGAAGACATCAGGCCATTTCCAGTTGCTCCACCTAAGAAACTGAAAGGTAAACACCCCAGGCTAGGTAAAACGAGGATTTTAACAGATACTCCAATTAAAAATGAAATTTCTCAAAGACAAGGAAAAAGAAGACAAAAACAGAAAAAAAAGTAAAATGTGAAAAGAAAAGTCGCAGGCGATTGAAATTTTCAAGCAATTCTGGCAACAAAAATAATGGTGATGATGATGATGCTCTGTGTCCTTATTGTTGCTCTTCATGGTCTTCTTCTACAAATGGTGAAAGCTGGATTAAATGCCAAGGAAAATGTAAAGAATGGGCACATACTGCTTGTGCTGGTATTTCAAAAACAGAACAAAATTTTGTTTGTGAAAAGTGCAATTTGAAATAAATATTTTGTCGAAACTTTGTTTTTTTCAAATTAATTTTATTTGATTTTGGTGAAATTTAATAACAATTTATCCTATAATATTTTCTAAATATGTCATAAAATAATATTTTCTTGCTAATAACTTCTGCAAGCCATAAAACAAAAGCAAGGGATATTAACTTTTGAAATATCAATGAGTTAAATGGTGTCTCAAGCATGACTCCTGCTGTCTCAACCAGTACAGTAGCAGGGATGGTTGAGACATTTAGGTACCTGTAAAACTTTTGAAACTGTCGTCTAGAATGACTCACAATGTCGCATGAGGTTATAAAATCTTATTCAGTAGACCCAGCTCTAACTGAAATGCTAAAAAAGTGTTTAATGATGAAGGGCATTACATTTTGTTTACGTTTGGACGGAAAGTGTCTCAAGCATCCCCACTTTCCCCTAATAAAAAATTTAAATTAAATTTAAGCTGAAGAAACATGTTTTCTATCCGAAATAAAAATTGAATGCATCAAAAAGATAATTAAGAATGAAGAAATTAAAATTATTTTTTCAGAATAAATAAAAAAATGGAAAAAAGTTAAAAAAAAAACAATTTAGTCACCAGTTTTGCTATGATCATATCCAACAATAACAAAATAATCAGCCAAGCGGGACATCATTTTGGAATATAACTAAAACTATAATTTTAAATTTTGAACCAGAAATATTTGTGTGAAATATCCATTTTATTTTTGTATTTATAATTACTTATTCATTATATCTATAAACAAAATTTCGATCGCCATTGTTATTATACCAGACCATAGAATTCAAACTTCAGGCAAAGATTCATAATGTATGGAAAAGGAAATATTCCCTGTTTAATAAAATGTTTTAGTTCGCTTTAATTAAAATGAAATCAATTTTATTCTGAATTGTCAAAGTTTTAATAATTTTTTTTTACTAAAACCCCATTATTTGAAAACGTTTCAAAAACTGATCAGGGAAACATTGAAGAACGTATTAAAAAGACTAACTCGTGTCATTTTATATGCATTTTATACCAAGAAAGGATAGATTGGCTGCTTCGGCGTTCTACATATTCATTTATTTTTATTTTCCGGGCCCAGAGACTTCTTGTTTATCCATCTGAAAATGTCCTCCCAGAAAATACAAAGATTAGAAATTTTTGAGCTCACCAAGCCGATACTGCCCGATCATGAATCAACCGTTTGGATTAGGTGCGTATCCTACATATATGATGTGGTATAGTAGTCTATATGTTGAATGACTTGGTGATGAACCAGTTAAGTCAGAATATTTACATTTACTTCGCATGTTTTCAATAAAAAGTTTTTACTGCTCACACTGTTAACCACTGTATGCCAAATTAGCACGCACCATCTAATGTAATAATAAAATGAACAAGATAAACGAACGATGAAATTATACAATCATACGTGCCGTTCATTGATGAAATATCGGTTAAATTACCAACACTGCTTTACATGAAAAGAACATCGAAATCATTCATACAGTAATTCTAATTGAGACTAAGAAAACGAAAAATAACCAAATAATAAATTAAAACCTAATATGTTTATTTTCGTATATACAAAATTGGCAACTTAGAGAATAGTTGTCAAACATTATTCTTTCAAATGGCTAGGGGCGTCTGCAAAAGCAAATTTTAAACGGTAGGCATCTGCAAGCAAAAATCTGACGTCATCATCGTTCCAGTGTTGAGTTGGAAGGTTCTTCAAAAACAACATCAAACCCTTGAATTGATTAAATTTAAAAATGAGCAATGAGAAAAAGTGTAAAATGGTTAATCAAACAGAAAACTGAATCAAATTATTTTCTAACTTGGAAATCTTTTTCTTGCAAGAGTTCAGAAGAAAATTTGTTGAGCAGTGCCGCGCAAACGTACAAGTGAAATGAAGCAAACCCCTCCGATTCACACTACAAGCGAAATAAAACGGTTTTTGAATAAAACGCTATAATTTCTGAACTACAAAAAGGTCGAAAACATTATCCTGTTATTGTAAGTAACTCATTAGTTCACTAAAAGATATTACTGATGCAATGAAATATTTAATCATTGTCGCCACACAGTTAGACCACCAATCGCAAGCCAGTAAAGATTGGAGTACATACAAAACAATTTTGATAAACGCTGCAACTACAGTTTGTGGAAAACTGGTACAAAACGTCAGCATGAACGTGGCACTTGGTGGTGGAATGACAGTGTACAAAATGCAATAGCTGAAAAGAAAGTTGCATACAAGCAATGGCAAAAATCAAAGTCTGTTGATGACCATAAAAATTTTCCGTGAGAAGAACAACTATGCAAGACGTCAAGTTGCACTGGCTCGGACAGATCAGTGCAGAGAGTGGCTCACTAAAAGCAAAGGTGAACAAATGAAATCTCCGTATCATATAGCAAAACAAGCAAAGCGTACGAAAAAAGACATAGTTGGTGCCTCATGTATCAAAAATGACAAAAATGAGATGGTTCTTGAACAAGATGAGATCAAGCTACAGTGGAGAAAATACTTCAACCGTCTGTTAAACGAAACAAATCCCATCAATGTTAATTTTGACGCTCCACCCATCGAAGGTCCGATTCCAGACATAACTATAGAGGAGCTTACAGAAGCTCTGGAAGCTATAAAGGATGGAAAGGCAGCAGGGCCCTCTGGACTCACAAATGACATTATCAAAGCATCTGGTACTGCAGGTATCCAAACGTTACTACAACTTTGCCGTGAAATCTGGAGAAATTGCTCAATGCCGACTGAATGGAACTATAGCATGACAGTCCCGCTACACAAAGGCAAAGGCGATCCATTGAACCGTTCATCATATCGGGGTATACGTCTGTTACAACACTCCCTGAAAATTGTCGAGAAAATCATTGAGAAGATTAACGTCGTGCATCACAATCGGAAATTATCAATTTGGTTTCCTAGCGGGGAAATCAACAATTGATGCAATTCACATCCTTCGGCAACTGCAAGAGAAGTACCTCGCAAAGCATCAACAACTATCACACATTTTTGTAGACCTTGAAAAAACATTTGATCGAGTTCCCCGTGAAGCAATCAGGTGGAGTCTACGTCGACAACTCATTCCAGATTATCTTGTTCGACTTGTGATGGAAATGTATACGAATACTAAGACTCTTGTCGGCACAACGGTTGAAAACACAGATGCATTTGACATCGGCGTTGGAGTTCAGCAAGGCTCGATTCTCAGTCAACTGTTATTTATAACTGTGATGGAAGAAATCACAAAACCGATACGCACTGGTGACATTTGGAATCTAATATATGCTGATGATATCATTTTAAAAGCCACGTCTGAGCAGAATGCAGCACAGATGTTTGAAGATTGGAACACCAGACTCGCCGATCATGGATTCAAAGTCAACATCAGCAAAACCAAAGCAATGAACACTGGTGAACCCATCCAATCCACAGCTACTGGGCAATGGCCCTGTTCAGTTTGTAAAGCTGGTGTTGGTAACAATTCAATCAAGTGTCAGCAGTGTAACTAGTGGTGTCACAAACGTTGTTCAAAAATAATTGGTACTTTATCTAAAGTGTCCAATTTTGTTTGTCCTGCTTGCATCAATCCTCAACTACAAATTCGAAATAGCAGTTTTTGAAGCCATTAAGGTAGAGAAAGTCACATCGTTTCAATATCTAGGGGATGTTCTGGATTGTACTGAAACAGCTGAAGCTGCCGTTCGAGCATGCAGACGTGCAGCCTGGAATAAATGGCATCTCCTTGCCTCTATATTGATGCGGCGTGACATCCCACTACCACTACGATCAAGACTTCATAAATCTGTGATACGTCCGGTGTTGTTATATGGTGCAGAAACATGGCCAATGACAACCAAACTGGAACAACAACTTCAACGAACCGACATGAAAATGCTCCGATGGATGCAACGAATTAGTCTGAAGGACCACATCAAATCTACCGAAATCCTGCGTCGTGCTGGTTTAGATGATACAAAGGACGAATGCCGGCAACACCGTCTGCGGTGGTTTGGTCATGTCAAACGAAGTGAAAACAGTGTCATAACTTCTCTTGCAGATGTTGAAGTACCTGGTACACGTCCCAAAGGCCGTCCAAAGAAGTCCTGGTCGCAAACAATCGAGCAAGACATGAAAGCTCTAAATTTAAATGAAATGGATACAACTGATCGTCTAATTTGGCGCAAAAAGTTGATGGCAAAGAGAACAACGTCCTACCTCGGGAAACCGGGTCTCTGGACGCAAAACGAAGATTGAATGAAATACCAGCAAGACCCCCATCCCAGTAACAAACCAGGTAAGTGTCCCAGAGTCGAATGACACACATCAGTGACATTTCCCTCATAAGCAGATTGTTCATCCATCTGAAGGCGAATTGTAGATATTCAACGTGGTTGCTCGTTAAATGTTGGTGCAACTCACCTAATGATGACGGTGGTGATGATGGTTGTTGCAATCGGAAAAAAATTTCATTCTATGTATAATGTGGTATAAATATAAATACATACAGGGTTTCTATTTTGCTCAACGAAGCGTTCTCCTAGAACCATCTATCTTATCATCCATTCAAGCGCAGAATAAAATCTCACTGTTGATTCTCATCATGAGGTCCTTCAATGTGTTGACCTGTTTCTGGATGCCCGGTTGAGCGAATGTGTAGTTGTCTTGTATGCCGTCCAACAACTTGGAAAAACACCAGAAACTATCTGCCTCAAGGTTTTGAATGGCTGACTCTGGAAGACTGTTTACTTTGTACGTTCGTATATCTGCATCTGATCAAGTAATTATAACAAAAACTTATTTCGAGTAAATAATAAAAAATAACAGATAGACAAAACAAAAAATACAAAAATGTGTTTCAAGCCAATAAAAGTTAATTTTTCACTTGTGTTTTGAAAAGTTGTTCTCAATAAATAAATTTAAATTTCGTGGCTAGAACAAACGGTACATGAACAATTGTTTTTTTTTAAACTCGTAACACGTTTGCATCTTTTAATTACAATGGCGTGATAGCCCAGTGCTGTTTTGCAGTGCGTGCAGTGATCCGGTTCGATCTGAATATGACCGATAGATCACCACCTATCAAACGCTTTGTGTGTGATGCGTCGTTTGGCACGTATTCAAATAGGCTGTTTTTGTGTGGTTCATTCCTCAGAACCTAAGAGGATTGTAACAGACTTTGAACCTTTAAATCTTAGAAATATGAGTTGTAATCATATTAGAAACATCTGGTAGCGTGAAGAAAAATTTATTTTCTGCGTACCAGCAGCTAAATAAATGAAGAACAGCAATGAGAACGAACCAAGGGGAATGTACTCAGTGATGAAAACAACGAAGAATGGTGTGACCAAATCATTGATGCCCTGCACGTAACCACTGGCCGGATGTCGTATGGCCCATATGTACAGGATACGCTCGAATATCTTAAATTATTATCACTCATATCATCACTTCAAAACATAGTAAATTATCATTAGAACAAATGATACAAAAACGCGTTTAAATATAATTATTATTATTGATTACATCATGTAAAATTATTTACAAATTTTTAAACTTCTATCATATTAAAATGCATTTTTTAACATTGAGATATTCAATGAGCAATAAAAGAACTGGAGTGATATGATGCCTAGATACCAACTTCTTGAACTAGTTCCTGTTGAAACAGAGGAATGAGAGGACTCATCCGAGGTATGTCAATATGTATCTGGGTCAAAAATTGAATATTAACTAATAATTAATTCCACGTTAATATGTATTTTGGTCAATAACAGAATGTTACTTAATAGTTAATTGCTCATCAATATATATCTAGGTCAATAAAGATTATATATTAAATTGGATCTGACTCAGCATCAGTTATCAGTTATCATATGGCTAAGCATTATTAATTGCAATGTAGATTAACAAATTAATGCAAAATGGTGTTGCACTTGCATAATAATAATCTCTTACAAAAAATACAACATTTAGAAATGATATGATACAATAAAATCTGACTCACCTGATGATATGTATCATCACAACTCACTCATTATCTGATGATATCATCACATATCATCACAAATCCAATGTTATGAATCATCCCAACTCACTTACCATCTGATGATATCATCATATATCATCACCCATCACTTCACTCACCATCTGATGCTATCATCACATATCATCACTCACTTGATGATATGTATCTGCGTGTATGGCTTGCTTCCTCGTTTCATAATACTGATCGACCAGGTTGAAGTACTCCTGCCTCTTCTTCTTCAGCATCATCTCTCGCCGATCTGCCATCAGTGGCAGGTACCTCTGAGATTATTATTATAGTTGTTATTATCATTATTGTCATTTTCTTATTTTCATTTCAATCCTTTAGAAAGTTAACCAATATAATTCATTAACTACGTAATGACAACTTGATAAGAAAATTGAAAGGCTATATCTACAAATTGAAAAATATCAAACAATCGACACAAAGTTTAGTTAAAGAGTTAAATAGATGTGCTGGAATGTACGTAGGCCCAATCAAATAATGACATGCCAGACATCACTGTTATTGCATGGTGATCTGATTTGAATACTATCTCCACTAACCTCAAATGCAAGTATGAGTGAACAAATAAATGAACTAACTGATAATATTTTCCATGCCACGTTCCTACAAACATGAGGAATTCCAGACCAACACATCTTCTGGAAATTTTCTTTTGAAATACATTTGAAAAACTAATGATTGCATCATCAAACAGTTTTTAAAAAATATTTTTCAGCAATTAGTCATCATGCAAATCTTTTGAAAATTAAAAATTTTGGAATTAAAAAAATTGATTCGATATAAAATAAAAATATGGACAGAAGAAGGAACAAATGTTTTTTGCATGTTGTACAGATTTGTCAGAAATGAAAATAAATTCATTAAAGAAAACCTAATTTGAGAGCATTTGAATTCAAATAGCTATTGAATTTTTCAATTCTTGAACTTTCAGACTCAAAGGATAGTTCGGATGTTTTTGATGAGAGGACCTTGCTCATGGATCGGACTCCTTTTCCGGGAGCATGGGGAATGCTGCTGTTGCAGGCGGCATGGCAACTTTTTGAAGATGTTCTTCCAGCATCACTCAACTGTCTTGAAACTTCATAACCTGCTTTTCAACCAATCAATTATATATATATATATATATATATATATATATATATATATATATAAGTTTGCTTTCGAATAACCTGATTTATTAATCTAAAATAGAAAATCCAAATGAGTGAATAAAGAACATAAATAAATAAACAATTGAAACAATATAAAATATTACAGAAATTATAAATGAATAACCAACCTAAAATAGAAAAATTAAATTCTAGGATCGTTTACAAAGCCAACAATAATAAAATATTACCACGTGCAATTATAAAATATGACCACGTGCTATTTGCATTTATATATAAGATGATACCAAAGTAATGAAACCTAATTTACAAGCACAGAATAGAAATACATAGATAATTATATGAAATATAATTTACATATATGATGTCATTTCATAATGTTGAACAACGCTAACTTTACTTTATTGTACAAATATGACTATTTTTTTTAAACAAAAAAAAACATTGTTTAAAAACTTAACTAATGATATAGTTTTGTTTACCATTCTGTGAGGAATTTAACTGCAAAGATTCTTTTGCTTCAGTTATTTGATCCTCACCAACATGTTCTGTTGCCAGCAATTTATTAGGAAGTTTGTCAACATCTGAACTGAAGACATCTCCAGCAGACTGCTTGCTGTGATTCCTCATCACCTCCAATGCTGTTTCCCTTATTCTTTCCACTGACAATTGTATTGGAAAATCGTGCAACATGACGATTTCATCTTTCATCAACACTGATCCATTCTGACAACTAAAACATTTTGCATGAAGAAAATAAAATTGAATGAATAATTCAATGAAATGCAAATACTCCTGTAATGATAAAAAGTCATTAAAAATTTAATTTAAAAGAATAAAACTGTCAAACATAAATACATACTCTGAAGATGGTTTAGATGTTTGAGCTTCTTCATTGCAATGCCTGCCTCCATTAGCTTGTAACAACTGTATGCTAAATAATTTTTAATGGATATTTACAAATTATATCTCATTTGTTAACGCAACAAAACCCCATGTTATGGGTAAAGTTATGGGCAATTAAAAAATTGAATAATATTACTTTAAATTAAAAGTTTTTAATTTATTTTGAATGGTTTATTTAATAAACCATTCAAAATAAATTAAAAACTTTTAATTTTATTAAAACTTTATTAGGAGTTTCCTCTTTCTATAAAACTTATTAACTAAGTTCATTATTTTATATGGTGATTTTTAAACTAACAGCTTAAATATATATTCAGTATTAAACTTAATACTTAATTGAAAATTAAAATAAGAAAATGAATTAATATAAAAATAAAATAAATTATTAATTAAATTTTAAAATTTAAATACCTGCCAGGGAGGCGAGATGATTTCGACTTCCAGAACCTATTGTTGTCATTTGGAGCAGACATTTATTCAACTTGTAAGCAAACACAAACACGCATTATAATAATAATAATAATAAATTTAAAAAAATTTCAAGTGCCTACCTAATTTATAAACTGCATCTTCTTACGTGATTTCACTAAAAAATTCTACTGCAAGTGTAAACACAACGTAATCTTTTAAAAGGTAATCTCAGTAAAAAAACATTTTTATTCGTAAGTAGCAGTTTAAATATTTAAATTAAATTTTAAAAAAATTGTATATTTAAAAAATTTTTTTAAATTATTTCAAAATTTTAATACTATTTTAATTTTTTAACTTTTTTAAAATGTACAATTTTTACATATTTATTGTCATTGGAATCCCTTATCTGAAAAAGGTGTTTAGTAAAAAGTGAATATGATTAGAAGATTGCTAAATCACAATTTTATTTCCATAAAAGTTTTCGCTGGGGACCGCAAAAAACAAAAATGACTAATTTCTTCAAAAGTGAAAAAGATTTTTTAAATTTTTTTTCTGAAGCATCTCTAAAAGTAAATTTTGACGAATATCTTTGTTACCTGTATTGGTTTTTAATTTAATTTCATTTATAGTATAAATTTTATACTTTATTTGGATTGAAATTGAAAATTAATTAAATTAATAAGTAATTAATGTTATAGTTAATTGATTAATACATTTTTTTCAAACAATTGTAAATTAATTTTAAAAATTAGTTATTGAACCTTTATTTTAATACTTTTTACTTTTTTTAACAAGTTTTAAATTTAATTATAAAATAAACTCATCTTAACTTAAATTTAAAAATATCAATTTTTTTACGATAAAAAATATAATAATTTATAATACAATGGCAATTATTGGATAATGTATCTTCTACTAACTCTTTCTATCATAATCATAGTTCTATAAAAGTATAAATATACTTATATATTATTTATTTTATATAATATTTTTAATTTAATTAAAATATACAGTATAGTATATTCTTTATGATACTTTATTGAATATATCTCTTTTTTTTTTCTATTCAGTCTGACCCAAAAAGTTTTTGTGAGGCTCTTGATGAGTTCATAGTAAAACATTCAACTGTCATACAGACGGACTGCTTGAAGCTTCCTAGAAGGTTCTTATTTATTAGGATTTTTTTTAATTTTCAGATTTTTTTTTTCTTCTTATGTTTCAAGCATCAAACTAATTTAAATTTATTGTAAATCTTACTTTTCATTGTCTTAAATTACTAAGAATTGAATTTGTTACATAATATTAAATTGACATTCTGGATATGCACTGGCATTCCATTAGCAAAAGCTAAAAATTTTTTTATTGTTTTTTATTGTGGAAATTGTAATAAGTTAAATAAAAAGAACATGAGTATTTTCAATAAAAGGGAGAAACGATGCCTCTTCACGTTAAAATCTTCAATGTGATAATAAGTTTAATTCTTTTTTTAATTCCTTAAAAATTTGAAATTAAATCAACTAAACTTGATAGCTGTAAATTTATTTGAATCACAAATGAATCATACAATTAAAATAAGCTATATACAGGCAATGTTTAGGCAGGAAACTTCAAATACTTTACAAAAAAATTTATTTAATGTTCAGTTCATTTCAGTTGAATTTATTCTATTGTGAAATAAAATGAATGTTAATAACATTCATCTAACTCTAACCTAACCAAATTATGTATTTGTTTGTTGGAACAGACTGGCTGAGAACCAATTATCATAATTGGTCTGGTTAATCTTTGTGTTATCTTCATGTCAGATTAATTTAGCTGGGTTGTGTCACCCTGAATAAGGAATCACCAGCAAATGATGGTGGTGACAGTGTGTATGTGTTTAGTTGAGATTACAGACTCTTTCTCTATTTTCAATAAGTTACTATATCATATTTAAATTAAATTCAACATCATGCTGTTGTTTTACTATAAGCATCATATTTTATTTTTATTGTTTTTTTAATGATCAGGTAATTATTACATTATTGCTATGATTATAAATGAAAGGTTTGTCATTTCCAATCACTTACTTAATACATTTCTTACTGATAATTTAAAATATTGTAATTTAGGCTATGCATTCCTCTTATCAAATTTTTGCCTAAATTTTATTAATTTTTTTGTACACATTCCAAAATAATTAAAGTTTATAAGGTAGTACTACTTTTGATTTTTTCAGAACAACATCCTTCCACTTCCCGAAAGTAAGTGATGATTTTCTGTCCTGTCTGCAACTGCATCTGTGGAACTGTTCGCAGCAGTTGGAACAGTCATACAATGAAATGGTTGTTGCATTTGCTGGCAAGATGGAGAAGACACTCGTCATCCTATCTAGGTTGGGTTTTTTATTCTTTATCAATTTTTCATTCAATATTTTATTTCTTTTCTAGATTTTGTTTGATTTATTTTTTTATCAGTAAATTGTATTTGTTGATTTTTTTTAAATGATGTTTCAATAATTGTTCTAATTGTTATGAAATTAGTTATATTTTGACAGTTTATTGCATTTAGATCAAGTTCATTTGTACTTTAGTTATCAATTCAATCTTTCCTTGGTGTAATGTAATTGCTCAATAATTTATTCAAATTGTTTTTGCCCAAAATAATTGCAGCCTATTGTTTTTATTGTTATTTGAATAATGAATTGCAGTTTTTTTCATTTCAGGAGCCCAAATAACATCAAACTTGTGGCTGCCAATGAATTTCTGCAAATCAGCTTCTCAATATTTGAATCACTCAAAAAAAGAGTTATTGTCATTTTTTCTATTCAAAATATTTTCGAAAGTTTTAATTAATTTATTTATTTAATTTATTTTGAAAATTTCAGAACACATCCAATTCGACAGACAAGTTGTTTATGGTAACATTTTTATATTTCCTTGAATGCTTGTATGATCCATGCTTTCTCTGGAGGCAGACCATTCATAAGTTAGCACAATGGTCGCTTTTTTCAAAAATTTAACATGAAAATAATTGTTTGGCATAAAATTCTGATGATATATAGTATTTGTATTTTTTAATAAATGGTTGCGTGATGATCAAAAGTAAGCAATGCCTAATTTATAAAAATTCACATTTAGGAAACTTGTTGATTATACGGCATTCAATTTCATTTACTGATGGGCTTAAATAGTTACATGATGATGTTTAAAACATTGCAATCTTTTAGT